TTTTCAGGGAAATTATAACTTTCCATAGAGAGGTTCAATCAGCGCAAACTTTGCACTGTCAGAAAGAGCTGGTGAAAGAACCTACAATACCGACTGCTCCGATTTTTATTATAAGTTTCCGATTTTTTATGACTACACAGAAAATTCAAATTCTGACCAATTTTCTTCTAGCGCTCCTATCATTGCAAAGGATGATCATTAGTAAGCAGCTAAGATGTCATTAAAAGGCATGAGTTATGCTTTCATACAAGAAGTGAAAGCAGTTAAATTGGTTGGAAAATTCAGAAGTTATGAAATTTTGAAAATGGTGCGAGCGAACTTTCGGGACAACCTAATATTACAGGGTGTCCCAAAAGTCTTTAAGCCTAGTATTTCTTCAGCTGCAACTGTGCGAAGCAACATTGTCACACGAAATTTAGCAGGGATCCTGTGAAGAACCTACAAAATAACAAGGTACATTCAGTTTTCGAAGAACCCTTATTTGGCCTTCACACAAGCCCTCACACTCCTGCGGAATGCATGCACCGTGGCAGACAGTTGACGTCGAGAATGTCTCACACCTTCTGAAGCGTTCCATACTGCCCAAAATTTAGTGTAGAACAGAGCAAGCCTTGCTTTTCATGACTGATCACAAAGAAAGGTCAAAGACTCTTGATGCCGGCGATGAAAAGCACTTTGATTGAGAAGGACGTCTGTGAGATTTAACAAAAGTGACAAAATGTAGCAATCAGGTTCTTAAGAACATCAAGAAAAGAGCAATTTTGGCGTACATGGGATGACCTTAAAATGACATTTCAGTAAAAAATGCGGAGCTTACAACTAGAGTTAGTGACTCCGAATCGGTATCGGAGCTTTCAGCTTTCTAGGGTTTTGTTTCCGAGAACTTTTTCTTATTTTTGACACGGCCCTACTTTGAGTGTTTGCATCTTAATCCTGCATCAATGAATAGAGACTACTGATTAGTTTTGCACCATAGACGTAAAGTGAAGCTAGCCTTACAATATTCAATTCAAGATTCCGCAAGAGCTTCAAAGGCAGAAGAGCTACAGATGTTTGAGTAAAGGGTACGTTAACATTAGGTCGTGCTCAAAAGCGTTGTATTGTTTGCTCCAAAAACGATATTCTGAGAATGTACAGCGCAAACAGTATGATTTTCTTGGGGAATACTGAGAACTAGACGAAGTGCTCATATGCAGAATTTGACCAAAAAGCGATGAATAATAACAAAGTTACTACGTTGGGAAGTTAGGCTCGAAGACTTTTGGGACACCCTGTATATTAGGTCGTCCCGAAAGTATTTTCGCTTTTTTTAAACAATCGCCGGTCCGCGGAACGAACATCTTTAGAAGATCTTGGAAGCATTTGATGCAATTTTTTATGCTCTTTCAAACGGTTATCTTTATATTGCAGTTTAACAGACGAGCTCTCAGAAATTTGCCAAAAACTGCGACCCACGCTTTCTACCAAGGTCACGTTTCGCTATTTTTCTAGATTCTTATACTGCTTCTCCGAAGAAGCCCAAGTAACCTGCGGATAGAGCAAACGAAATAGGATGCAAAACAATTTTTTTCTCTCCAGAGCTCTCCATAATTTTTTGACAGAACTTTAAACAACACTATCGAATTTTAGCAGACCCATACCAGACGCGCTCGTCAAACTCTAAGAAATTCCCAGTTTTTGATACTCTTAAAGATAGATTAAAATTCATCACCAATTTTACGAGACAAATGAAATTTCAGGTTCGAAATATCAGATTTTGAATTTTTCGGGTACATCTTGGGGCGCTACCAAAAACATGAATTTTGTCGATTTTGTCCTCTAAAAGTTTACGAATCAGAAACAAAAAGCATGTTTCTGAAAGAAGAGAAGGTGCTGCATCGAATAACATTCGAGTTGCTTTCCGAGTGATGCTCTATGAGGTTTAAGTTGACGAAATATAGAATTTGACAGCATCAAAGAAATATTTCTAAAAATTTTGTAAAGTAAGATTTGGAAGGGGCGGAAATTGCTTTATATCCTACTTTGCTTGCTCTATTCAAAGGTCACTTGAACCCCTCCGGGAAATTACTATAGTAATTTAGAAAAATAGCGAAACTGGACCTTGGTAAAAAGCGTGGTCGCAGTTTTTGGTAATTTTCTGAGCTCGTTTGTTAAACTGCAATATAGAATTAACCATTTGGAAGTGCATAAAAAACTGCATCGAACGAATTCAAAATCTTCTGAGGATGTTTGTTCTGCGGATCGTGGCGATTGTTCGAAAAAAGCGAAAGTACTTTCGGGACGGCCTAATATACAGGATCGTTAACTCACTTCAGTCTGCAAATAGCGGGCAACCGTCCCGAAGCGTAGCGATCTCCTCCGAATAGCACCTTTAGGTTACTAATTCACTAGTATCGAAAAATAGCACACATATTGTGAAGTGACACCTGTGGCGTGCAGTACACATGAACAAGTCACATATGGCTCGACTGTATCTAAGCGATGAAGATGTGTAGTGTTTAGCATTTGAGTTCTTGGTTTAATATTCCATTCTTAGCCGGTTCTCCATTTTCTTTTTCTGATGGTTATCAAATATGGATTGATCACCAACGATGGATGTCAATAATGCAGGTGGTGCGCTCCTATTGAATAAAAAAGCTTAAATAAAGGACCAAGAACCAAACGTAGCAAAACTATCTGCGTAAACTACTCGCTAAACGATCGTTGCTAATCCATTGCTATGTAGAGGAACGAATTCCATTTGGACATTTTCGGCGGACTTCTAGTCTTCAGACGAGATGCAATAGCAACGTAGAGAGACCAGCTGTCCGCGAAGGCGGCCCAAACGGCAAAGTTATTTCCTCAGCTCTTGGCTGGTTTTTATCCTCGTTGTTGTCAGAAATGCAGAGATCGGAGGTCGGTCACACACCACCCGTCAAACTTAGGCAGCGGGCGGTCTGGAATATTTTTTAGAGTGACCACATTTTACATTCTATCTAGTTGAAACTCGTAAAATTTGAAAATGTAAACGGTTTAGGTGCCATTGAATGCAACTTCTTCTTGTCTGTCAATATGTCGCGGATTCGCGACTTCTATAAAAGCAGTCCACCCCGCGCTGCAAAAGGTCGCAAAATGCAGTCTCGCCTTCTCACCGCTATATCTGTCGCAGCTTTTGAATTAGTCACGTAGTCACCTGGTGAGCGGTCGGGTCCAGATTCAACAGAGGGAGAGCAACAGTACTTCTCAATTTTTCGAGTGCGCATCGTACCTCAAGTTCACAAATCTTCATATTTTGAAGTGATAATCGCTTCTCTTTAATGTTAGGGGTAGTAATAATTGCAATTTTGAATATCAATATTCTGAAGATTTTTTCAATGTTAGTTGCAAATATGCGTTATGCATTTCGTTTTCAACCCCCGAGAGTTTTAGAGAATTATTCGGCAAAATTTTGAGAAAGAAGCTGGAAGAAATAGAACCGCTTTAATTGCAAAAGGTTTGCTGTATCTGCTGGCTATCAAAGTTCCCCTAAAAGGCGCAAATAAAAATTTTGAAAATTAGCGTTACTTGAGCATGTATAAAATGAAGCGTCATAAGGATTGACAACTATCTCAGTCTTGTCAGAAGAAATGTGTTTAGAACATAGTTTTTGAAAGATGGAGACTTCGTCGGATACTGCTTGAGTAATCGTTTATCTTTGCCCTACCTTATTGGCTAGGAAATTTTGAACAACTGTTAAAAGGTTTACACCGACCTAAAAATTGGGTTGCGAAGGAAGCTATTTTCGAGCTTTTTGGAGCTAAAAAGTTGTTGCTTAGAAACTAGAGCATTTCAAAGGCCGATATTTCATGGTCAGGTTTGCAGTACGCAACTGCGCACGTGGGAGGAACTTAGGATCGCTAAGGCAGAGTTTGCCAATTTTCGTTTTCTATTTTTTCTTTATTCCTAACCAGTGGCGTACCCAGGATTTCGGCTCGGGGGGGGCGACAAAAAATTTTTTTAAATGAAGGCCGTCAGCCACGCACTCCGAAAAAATTTTGGGGGTGCTTCTCAAAATTTTTGCGGGTCCCCAACCCTTAAAATCCCCAACCCTTAAAATTTTTTTCGGGGCGTGGGGTTAGCCCCCAAAAAAAATTTTTTTATAAGGCTAAAATGAATTTTTAAAAATTTTTAAAAAATATTTTAATTATTTACAAGTATAAACAAGTATTTTGCACAAATTTATAACTCATGTAAGTAACTTTCAAAAATTTCGCGACCCGTTCTCGGGGGGGGGGGGCGCCCCCCCTCGGTACGCCACTGTTCCTAACCCATAAAACTATAGCAGGTGTATGTAATATGTTGTGCATGTATTTGCTACGCCTAAGAGCAACTGGGACATTTCTACAATTTTTGGGGCGAAGATCCGATCCCTGTCATGAAACTGCTCTTTAATTCTGGCTTAGGCTGATACTTTGAGATCATCTTATAAAGTTTGCTTCGCTCTATCAAATAGTATTTCTCGCATATCTTGAGTTCGCTTTATTCTATGTTTTGAGAAAAGGAAATCTTTTCGTTTCGGCCCTTTTGTAAGGTTTCAAACTGACATCATTTTCTAATCTATGATTCCTGAGTGGTACCACCCTTTATGAACAAAATGATGTAGTTCGTCGCCGGAAACCTCAAAGCAGCGAGGTAAATATTGACTTCCTAGAAAGAAATGAATGCGCGAGGTTCATTGTTGACTCGCTCAGTTGCGCATATAAGCGAAGTGCCGAGGATGATGAGCGAACTCAAATTTTTTGTGCAGCATTTTCTGACAAAGTTTTTATGATGACTACGTTGTTTTTGTCCTTTTTGATTACTAATCGAGAATAGTGTATTTTAATGGGAGAAGCAAAGCGAACATTTCATGGAATTTTTCTCATTCTAGCACTTTTCTGACCGCATCGCAAGAATATTGAGTGAACTACTCACTTTGGGAAACCAGTTTCTGCCCAACCTGGTATTTGACGAAAATCCACAAAATAGTTTTCATTTTTTAGATGCAATTGCTCATCATTCTCGCTCTTGTCGGATCTTCTTTAGCATTACTAGGAATCGGCAGGACGCAATCTGTAGCGGTACAAGGACGGCTAATTTGCAATGGACAACCGGCTTCTAATGTTAAAGTAAAGCTCTACGAAAAGGAATCCAGTGAGTTAAGCTTTCGAAGACACCAGATCCACACAGATTGAGGATTCTGAGATTTTGCTGCTGGACAATAGCTGATCCCCTAACTGGGCAGTTATTCAGTCCCTTCTGCAAAAGATAAATTCCAAAGCGAGAAATTTGCTCCGGAAGGTAGAAGCGGGTCAAAGGTGACTCTGCCCATCAATGTGGGTAGTCTGAAGATAATAAGCATGAAAGCGGGCCTTATTCTAGATGAAAATGTCGAAAATAATCAGTAGTAATCATGATGAAGGGTATGTTTATGACAACACTAGATACCTCAAAACTCGATTTTGGACTTATTATCTTCAGACCACCGCTGGCTGGAGCTTTCTGGGCGTCTCTACCTTCTAGAGCGTTTTTCTCGCTTCGCAGTTCATTTTTTTTTTGCATCGGGACTTGGGCGGTTACTTAGTTAGGGGACACGCTATCATACAACGTCAGAATCTCACCAATTTCATTTTGTGACAGTGTATTTGATCTATTTGTCAATTCCAACTTTCACTTTAGCTTTCGACGTGAATATGGCTGAAGGTGTAACAAATCAAAATGGAGAATTTCGACTTACCGGTTCAAAAACCGAGATCTCAACAATTGACCCGAAAGTGAACATCTATCACAAATGCAATTACAATGGTGTAAGTATTCCTAACTACTGACAAGCTCCAGTTTCCCAAAAAAGTGTTACTTTAGCTTTGTTACCGAAAGTTCGGCATTACCATCCCGGACAATTACGTCAGCACTGGACAGAATCCACAACAGACTTTTGACATTGGAACGATTAATCTTGCCAATCGTTTCACTGGTGAAACTACGGATTGTATAAATTGAATGTACATAATGGAAATAAAGAATTTTCCTTTTTTGTGAAAAGAAAATATATTGTTCTGAAAATATTTATAAAATGCATGCATTAATTTGATTTGACAGATATTCTCACTTCCAGTTTGGCAATTTATGATTACAAGTCTCCCAGTGGCGGAGAGGGAAAGGGGGAGGAGGGGGGGGGGGAAGGGGGGGGGGGGGGCGAGGTGGCTGAAAATTGCTTGTGTGTGTTATAAAAATGTGCAACCGACTTGTTTTTACTTGTGAATGATTGAATAATTTTTTAAAAACTTCTGAAAATTCAAATTAGACTTGCAAAGCCCATTTTTCTTTAAGGCATGATTGCTTCAATGCTTCCCTTATCCTGCAGTTTCGGGGTTAAGGGCCCACAAAAATTTTAGGAAGCATGTGAACTATAGGTATGTTGCAGTAACATGGTACTAATATGAACTACTTTTTTGCAACGTTAAAATATAAAATTCTTTTGTTGGAGGCGTTCTGTTTGAAAAAAGAAAACCCAGTCTGGGATATCTATGCACATGGGTTCTTATGGCTTCCGAAAATGTTGAAGCACTAAAACTTTCGTAAGGAGTTACTGTCATTCCCGCGATGGCTTCCGTCACAAGTTGCAGCTTGAATAGTACAAGACGGAATCTCAAATCTTTTACAATTCAAAAGCAAATATTCTTCCTTTAGGGAGTTGTTGCAGTTATGAGCGGAACAATTTGAGACTTGTTATTTCCCTAATCAAACTTTCAACCTTTTTTAAAGATTTGTTGTACAGATGACGATATCAAAATAGTGTTTGAACGTAAATCTATCACACTACATCTCTTATACGTACTCCCCATCATCAAAACTAAAAATCTATGTCATAAGTCAATAACATGTCATGTACGAATAGTTAGGAGTCAGTGGAAAAGCTCGTGTGCCCAAATTTGGCGCAAGCCAGAATTTCTATCAAAAGAGTACAATATAATTTCCTTGGATGCTTTTTGCGCGTAATGTCTAAACCTGTTTCAAACTGACAAATGAATAGGCTGGAGAGTTCAGGTTTGGCGCAAGTAATTCAGAAACTCTTACAAATTTATAAATGGGACAATTTTCAGAAAAAATACGATTTTCGTTTGCGTTGATGTCTTTTGGCCAAGAACTCGGGCTTTAAATAAGAATTGGCTCCATGATGCGCCAAGATGGATAAGCCAATGACAGCTTTTGTAAAATCATCATTTTTTCTAATCTCAAAAAGAGGGTTCCAGGTCATTAGAGAGAAAATCTTTTCTTATGGACAACACTGCGCCGTTTTAAAAAAATACTGTGGTTAAGCATACAAGAGAAGCATGTGCAGCTGAAGTGGCGTTTTTGGATGGGATGTATACCTTAATGAAAATCACAAAACGCTGATTTCAATTTTTATGGACATAGAGATATGAATGTTTATTGGTGCATAAAATTACATGTGCAAGTGGGACAAAAATCGTCGCATTTTTTTTCTGGCGCTCTAAGAGCCATGATAATTATCAGGCACCTTATTCAGTAAGTACTTTTAGATAATAAATATTGCAGGCTTGGTTGCTTTAGTTGAAAAATAGGAAAGCTTTAGCAATTTATTTTATCTAGATGCACGTTTTTTTTTCAATAAACGCTCATAACTGCTCGTCAACAAATGCTCTGCGAAAGGAAGGCAGATCTGAAATCAGCGTTCATGCTTCTCAATAAAGATTAGATTCCATCTAAAAAGGCCACTTTGATTAAACATGATTTCCTTGTAATTTCGGTCCAAATATATTAGGTTGATGCATAATTCCTGCACCAAAATAGGTACAGACCGCTATAATGCGGAATATCTTATGTCCCAAATAGAATTCGGTATATCATTAGATAGCGCAAACCTAGCTCTACAAAATTTTCTCAAATATCTATACCAGCTTTAATCCACGCGAAGTTTTGAGCCGAAAACTGAAAAAAACCATGCGTCCGAAAACCTTAAGACCAATCAAACAAAATTGTAACTTCGTTCAAAAAGCTCCTACAAAATTTCTTTCTTGCTCACGCGTAGATATTCCACCTAAGACATCTAACTAAGCTGTTCCTGTATTTTTTTCTCAGCTAGGCGATGAGAAAACGAAGTTTTTTATGTTTTTGCCAAATCAGTGCTGAGATGTTCTAGCACTAACAGTTGTATAGTACATGCCATTAGCAGTGAAAATTTACATTTTCAGCCTTCTAGAACTGCTAGTTCACGAGAAATGACGAATCTAGCTCTCTTCATGCGAATTTTTCTTGCCTAGTTGCCAAAAATTCGATATTTCTCGTAAACCAGCTGCTATAAAAAGCTGAAAATTCAAACTCACGCTTCTGAGGCCCTATAGTATACAACTGTCAGTGCTAGAAAATCTCAGCATTGTTTTGGAAAAAACATGAAAAACTTCGTTTTCTCAATTTCTAGCTGAGAGAAAAATACAGCAACTGCTTAGAAAAATGTCTTATACGAAATGACAATGCATGAGCAAGTTAGAAATTTTGAAGGATTTTTCTGAACTGACTTCCAATTTTTTTCTTGGTTTTTTGGGGCGATTGGATCTTTTTCGTTTTTGGCTTCAATTTTCGCTTGTATCAAAGCCGCTGCAAAACTTTAGGCACTATCTTGTAGAGCTAGGTTTGCTTTATCTAATGATATATCGAATCCTACTTGGGATATAGAATTATTCCGAGTTAGTGCGGTCTGTACCTATTTTGGTGCAGGAATTATGCATCAACCCAATAGTACGAGAAGAAGTGTTATAGAGATTTTATAGCAGGAATATAAAATTGTCCATTGACGTTGACAGCGTCATTTTCCTAAATCTCCTGCGAAAGCCTAGAGAGCGCGATCAAAGGTGGAAATTGTATGAAAATTGCCTGTATCTCATGATGACTACAGCAAATAAAAGCACAATAGTAATATTATAGAACACCATTCTTGCAAAACAGTTCCAATTCCAAGTGATCAACGATCAACTGCCGTTATGCGGATCAACTGGTCTCCGAATATTTACGGCGACTTTCAAAGATCATTGATGCTTGGATTTCAGCGTATAGGAAACACTCGGCAAATTCGCGATTGTTTGTCCATCTGCGCTTGTTCCAGCTTTATCTTATTCTAAGTTTCATTATATATCCCGATATTATTCGAAAGATATTTGTTAAACTATTCGCAAATTCTCATTTTGGACAAAGGAAAAAACAAAAGGAGACTTCTATCCATGATTTGATTATATATAACATTTTAATATTCGTGGTAGACAGGATTTTGACATATTTTTAGTCAAAATTTGAAAAAAAAGTAAATTATCTGGGACAGGCAGTGTGACCGCATAAACTTACTACGCTGAGTCATCTCTATTTGATATGCAATTTCGCGCGCGAGGTTGGTTCTCCCCCCCCCCCTCCGCTCCGAATAAAATGAATAACATTTGATTTGTCAAATATATGCCGAACTTCCCGATGACGTGATAAATATTGACATTGGCGAAAAAAATGAGCAATCTCGAGGCTCATTGTTGACTCGGACTCGCTTAGTAGAGCATATAAAGCACTGTGACACAGCGGTATGAGCATGACAGTTCAATTACATTTTTTTTACTCAACAATATTTCGCAAGAACTGAATTTTATCTTGAACATAGTCATCTATTCTAACGTCTGAAACAATAATGACTCAGTTCTATCTGCCTTTTTTTACAAAAAAATGCCGATGAGTAATCACCTCTTGCCTTTTCTTGCTATAAAAGTTTCCGAAGGTGTAACTTGTACTAATTCTCTCATTTCCTCCCGAAAGATCTTTCCTTTCCTATTTTCTTCATTAGCGGATATGTAACTAGTAGATCCGACCATAATGTAGCGACCCCTGCGGTGCTGACAACAATTACGTGTGAACAGGTTGTCGCGCCTGTAATGCCCACAAATTGAACGTATATTGGGCCCCATGGCCATTGTTCCCGCACAGATGTTGTCGGCACCGATGGGCAGCATATGAGCCGTCAAATCTATAGCCTATACTCGTATATTCTGTGAATCGCAATATTTCAGATGCAACTACTCATTATTCTGTGCCTTGTCGGATCTTCCCTGGCATTGCTGGGAATTGGTAGGACCCAATCTGTAGCAGTTCAGGGAAGGCTAATCTGCAACGGGCAGCCGGCCTCCAATGTAAAAGTCAAGCTTTACGAGAAGGAAGCAAGTAAGTTGCAAATCACACCTTATGTTTGATTTTTTGTGTATTGCACACCACATGCGAGATCCGACGACGTCTACGGCTAATTATTGCCATTTTTGAGCAATTTCTGCTTAATTCTCCTCATTCTGAATATTTCTTCGTGTAAGAAGGTTGAAGTCATCATTTTTTGATAGTTTCAACGGGTCTACTAACAGATCACATCAAAATGATCAAAACGTCGTGAGATGTGATGCGCGGTCTGCAAATCCACACATAGCTTACAAAGTACTGCACCAAAGTTCCGCAAAATTGATGATTTATTCAGCATTCGACGTGAAAATGGCTGAAGGTGTAACAAACCAAAATGGCGAATTTCGCCTCTCTGGTCACAAGACCGAAATCAGCACCATCGATCCCAAAGTGAACGTTTACCACAAGTGCAATTACAATGGGGTGAGTATAGGTTAAGTTTCTTGACCTCCCCTTAGATCAACAAACAAACCTAAAAATTTCAGATTTGTTACCGAAAATTCGGCATCACTATCCCTGATAACTTTGTTACCAAAGGAAAGAATCCACAGAAAACCTTTGACATTGGAACCATCAACCTTGCCAATCGATTTACCGGTGAAACCACTGACTGTATAAACTAAATGTAAATAATTATTGTCAATAAAACATTCCATTCCGTCTGCTTGAGTCATTTCAACTATAAAGAGTCGATAGAGTTTTTGGAGAAGGACGGCGATAATAACTGATGCGTTTGTTTTCGAATTACAGACATTGAGAGAGCCAGCAAATTTCATGAAATAATTTCATAAAATGAATAAGTTCTGTGGTTCTGTCTTGTCAGCAATTCAAGTGCAGCCTTTGAAATTACGTTCTAGTAGTATGGAACGTATTCTATTTGAAAGAAGTCGGATGCTCAAGGAATCTCAGCGATCACATGTATAAGTACAATCGTGAACAGTTTGAGAAAATACTGGCGAGATTCTTGAGCTCTCAGGCTTCGTACATCTTAAGTGGTAAAGTGCTAGTGAGAATAACAAGTTTCCACATTTTCAAGACTCTATGACCATTATTTCTTCAATTATGATCTAAAATACTTCTTTTCGAAAGCTTCACAGCTTCATCCATTCGTTCTGCAGAAGACTTTGAGGTTTTCCAAAGCGATTCTGATATTATGTCAGCTGTTTCTTTTAGGTCGCCGTCTTGGCGTTGATAAAGTGAGTTTGTCACCACTGAATGGAACAATCTTAACTTCAAAAATTCTACAATAATTCATGAATTTCTTTATTTGGCCGTTATTCCACATGCGCCGCGCACAACAGAAAGTCTTTGTCGCATAGACAGAGAAGATAGCTTTTCCTCAGAGTATAAATAATGATTTTTTTGGTAATTTCAAAGGTAACAGCTAAGTAGGGCTAATCGCTCCAGATCTCCGCAACAATGAATGCTAACTTTTGTCTTATCCAATACTGCAATAGCATTTTATAGCATTTTCTTAGGGGCCGGGCATACTTCACGCGATTTCAATCGCGACGCGATTTGGTTCGCCGGAAGTCTTCAGAGATCCAACACTAACAAACTGCACATGCATAGTATATATAGCTTACGTGGATTGATAGAATGCCCTATTTGTACATTTGAAATGTGCTTACAGTAAGTTATGAGTTGGAATACTGCCAAATCGCGACGCGGCTGAAATCGCGTGAAGTGCGCCCGACCCTTTACGAAAGCCTTTTTGGCCTTTTCTGCTTTCAAATAGAGTAGTGTTGAGCCTAAGGGTATTATACAGAATGTATCCATTACCCTATTTTCAGGTGTATAAGCCGAACCCTTTTTGCTCTAAACGCGAGCAGACCCAGGCGTGCCGCCGCGCATGTGTCTCGCGAAGCGGTCGCCCTATCGCATACTGCTCTCACTTAACGCGCTATATGATGACAGTCAGTCTTTTGGCGTGTTCTCCTTTAGAGTGAAAAGGGTGCGGCTTATACACCTGAAAATAGGGTAAAAGAAGTGCTCTGATAATCAATACCTGACCATTTGTGCAAATCCGGACGACTTTTTCAGTTGCGCATCCAATTTTTCAACCTAAGAAACGCTCATAACTCTGCTTTAGAGGCGCCTGGCTTGAAACAGAATTGGAACTACCGTTCAATGCTCTATGTAGGTGTCGTATGGAAACGCCACTGAAGGATTCCTTGTTAGCTCGTGGAGGTTCTTTCGTACATAGTTTTTTGCAGTCTTTCAAGTTCACTTTCCTAGATGATGTCTACCGTAACCTCATGCTTCAATTTAGATTATGCAGTATCGCGACGTGGCAACACATGGGATGAGGACTATGTAAATTGTTTTTCTAACTCATTCCTTGCTGGGCTCTTGCAAAAGTGCAGTAACCTTCTAAAGACCGCGAAGGGCAGCAAATGTGGCCGTTATAAAAACAAGCTTCGATCTCATGCGCAAATAAAACCAGCCCTTCTAAAAGAGTTCTAAATTGGCACTAAAACAGTTTGCGAGCAGAACTTCATGCGAAAACTGGTACTCAAGCGGTAGCTTCTTTCACATTTCAAATGAGCGCATATCCAGAAACCGGTCTATAAGGTTTAGAAACCTTTTTTTTTCGGAAGCGAAAGGATGGAACAACTTTATCACTCCATTCTCAAAAAAGTCCTTTTTGATTATAAATTGGCACCATTGATCAAAAAGAAGAGACATCTACATTGCGATGGCACCTTGGCCCGTAGTAAACCCCACCTGGTTGTCACAACATAAAGGGACTATGTCGTGATAGTCGGAGTATCTCGCAAGACTATAGCGAGCTATCCGCAGGGCGCCGCAAAACTAATGCATAAACGCGTGATCGAACCAGTGATAATCGCAACAGCAGCGCCCACAGCAACTGCGCTATGGATAGGCACTGTTGAAGTTGTACCAGAATGGGAAGGGCCTGGAGCAGGCAGAGCAGCGTAGGTAACTTATTATGACCGAAACGGCGTGTAATACTCCACACAGTGTGCCTAGTGGATATTAGTATTGTAGAAGTAATAACCGCCTGCACAACTACCGTGATATTGCACACGCAAGCCAATTTTGATTAGCAGTGCAGATAGCGCAGCGTCAGTGTCGGATGTCAGTGTGGTTGATGTCGGGGTACAAGTCCTGCCTCGAGCAACTTTTTGCAAGTGGTGGATCTTCAAATTTTCATATTTTTAAGCCTAAATTTGAAAATTTTCTGGCAGTAAAAAGAAAATTGTATGCAAAACACATCAAATCGAGAATGCACAGGAAAAAGCAGTATATAAAACAATCATCACTTTAGTCTGGGCAAATATGAGCTATTCCAGCAGCCATAGTGCCAGATGGTCCCTTCACTTAAGCACAGAAGGGAAACAAGAGGCTCACAGCTAAGGAATGGCAAACCAGCAAGTGAAGAAAGTGCTAAGATGGAAAACATTGAGGAGTTTTCGCATAAGCAGGATATTTGGTGCGCAAATGAGATGCATCGTGAGAATAAATAAGAACAACAGTAACCATTATAAAATGTGACCAAATATGAATCTAATACATCTTTTAGTCAAAAGAAACTCACCTTTTTTGAACACCAGAGCGTGCAGCTTAGGAAATATTTCGAAAATGTAGGAAGGCACATTGCTCGGCGCTGTTGGGCGCTTATCAGCTGTTGATATTGATTGCAATTGACGTGCGTTACAGAGAACCGTGTGCATGTGCGACCTATTGCGAGGTTGGCGTAGTCGAGCTCTAGTCTTGCGCTATCTCTCTGCGTCTCCATGATGGACAAAGTATTTCGCCGTCTCGGCCGTCACGACATGTCGCAATATGTCGCTATATGTCACGATATGTCGCGACATATAGCGACAAAGTGGGACTACCCTGGCGCTTCGCATTGATTGCGACCACCGGCAATGATAAAGGATAGCCGCCTTGCCTGCCTCGCTCCATGGTAGTCAGCACATGTCACAGCAGACTCCGAGCTATACGTCAGCACATACGGGGGGTTTACTACAGGCCCTTGTCTGCTCTCCACTAACCAAGCACAAATCAGGGAAAGGGAATGTACAGTCCAATCATTTCATATGATCATGTGTGTCATTGGACACACAGTCCACCTTTGGCGTTCCTATCCTGGATTCTTGGAGGAAACAACCGTTTAGGTACTGCTGTAAGTGCTTTCAATGTGTTCTTAACACTTTCTTTCCTTTTTAAGTACTAATCACCTCAAATTGATGTAAACGATGAAAATCGGTAAGCCTCTTGCATTTTGCGATTGAAATACAGGATGAGGACGCCAAAGGTGGACTGTGTGTGCAATGACACACATGACTGTATGAAACGATTGGACTATAGAAGAAAAGGAGCACTCGAAGTTTAATGATTTGGCAAGCTCGAAAAACATTCTGAATAGTGCAGGAAAAACGCCTATGTATGTTATATTATGAATTTTTGAGAAAGGTGCAGCAGGAATTTGTGTGTTTTGTATTGTATTGAATGAAAAATACTACTTTTTAAAGCCTCAGCACACGCAGAAACTTAACTCATTTGAAAAAAAAAGGCATTATCAAATCACATTAATCCCGGAGTGAATTTTTTATTGCAATATTCTGTTAAGATTAACATGTTTTAAGTCTAAATAATAATCCTGTGTAATGGTTTCAACTTCAACGAGGGTGACTCACTTTTTACTCTATTTGCGGAGACACGCTCTCTGCGTCACAGCTTGATGTTTGTTGAAAAATCAAAGAACATAAAGTATGACCGACAGTTTAGCAATAAGAGGAGAGCATATACAATTATCATTTCGAAAAACATAAAAGTATCTTGAAATTAGCTAGAATTATAAACTGTTTTTAAGATTCAGACGCGATTGGGAGTGGGATAAAAGCGCATCTTACCCACAAGAAAATTTGGTACTTTTCCTTTATCCGGACCCATATTTTCAAAGAAGGATATTGCTTTTTTCTTCTACCGTATTTGGTCCCAAGTTCACAGGAAGGAGCGTCAACCTTCTGCCATGTGTCAAAAAAAATTTGACATGTCATCTACATGTTTGACAGGTTTTACCAAGGTTTTGTTTTGCACTAGCTAACGACGTAAATTCAATCTGTATTTAAGTCGATAGTGACCCCATTTTCAGATAAAGGAAATAAAGGATTTCAGAAATGAACGCTGCTATACTTATAACGTTCCTGTTGTCATTGAACAGATTAGATTTGTCCAAAATGGAGAATTGTGCTAGGATTCCATTATCCAAGCCGCGAAACAAGCAGCAGCGCAGAGATACAAGCCGTCATTCATAGTCTTTCCTGACTAAATTCGCATGGACGAAAGTTTGAAAAAGAAGACAAGTTTGAATTATTGCTGAAAGCAATTAAGATGTTCTGCGATAACATCCAGACAGTCTTGCTTTCATAGAAGACAGTTAAAGAGCTTTTAAGCGGTCACAAACGCTTTTTTACCTCACCGGAAATGATTTCGAAAAAACAAGTCAAAATGGACTAAAACGTGTCAAATTTTTCCTGACACGTGGCCGGGGAGGCAGTCTTTGTAGAATCTACAAAAAATTATTTTTAGACTGAAGAACGCATGTTATGAGAGCCTTTTGAAAAAATGGGTCCGGATAACGGAAAAGTACCGAAAATTTTAATAACACAGTAATCAAAGTATAAAAAGAGAGCACTACATTTCAGTTGATACAATCAACAGTTTCACCACTCCACTGATTGTTCAAATTGATATTTCCGACATTATAAGTGTTCTTAGGATTTGGACCATCGGTTACATACTGCGGTGGAATGTGTATGCCAATTTTCTTGTAACAAGCCTGTAATCAGCTTATTCGATGACTGGAAATGAGGGCACAGTAATGACTCACCCCATAGTAGTTACATCTGTGATAGATGTTGACTTTAGGGTCAATATTTGTCACTTCTCGTTTCCGCCCGGACATCAGGAACATTCCCGAGCTGTTCGTAGTGCTTTCGTCCAATTTGCTATCCAGTGCTAAATTTATGCTGGTTTTAGGAATTATGTTTTGTAGTGTGGTATATTTGATGCTTCATATAGTGCGTTGCCGACAGCATTTGCGCGTAAACAATGATAACGTGCGCCCTGCGGCCATTTTCCACGCGCAAGTCGCAAGCGAGTTGTCGCCATCCACAAGCGTGACATTAGTTCGCGCGCAAATGTTGTCATCACTGCAGAGGATACTGTAAGCGTTGAATCTACTAATTTGTACGCTTGACATACTCAGTTCTTTATCGTATAATTTCACTTTGATGTTGGAGGCTGGATAACCATTGCATAGCAAACGCCCGGTAACCGAAACCGATTGCTCACGTCCAATACCCAATATTGCCGAACAGTATGGAATGAACAGCAACAGGAGGAACGAAAGCATGACGCTAAAAAACTGTACGTTCACACCTGAAATGAGCAACTTACTTTTGTTGATCAAAAATAAGCCAGGGAAAGGAGAGAGATGTTTACTCCATTACGTCCAATAGCTCCACATTCTTTTCGAAAAAATGTAACAATTTTTTATCCTTATGCTTTCAAGATTTACTTAATATTTCCTCTAATCTTCTATTAGAACGACTTACTAAACACAGTACAGGAGCAATAGCTTTATTAGTTTGGGTGAAAAGCTAGCGATTGTTACTCAAGTAAACGACTTATAGGCACTTAGCCGCGCCGCAGAAATGACGCAACGCCGGTCAACGCTTACAACTACTTAACCAAAATATAGGGTTTCGCCATCTTTACCATCCACATCAATGAATTTCCGACCAAAATAGCAGCATTTCATCATTCAGTGTTTCTACAATTTTTCGAGATCCTGGCTCATTTTCGTTCGATTTAAGCATCGATCACTTTGACTCATATAACAGAAATTTTTTTGAGAGGAAAGCATTGTGGAGATTGGCAGCTATAGATAGCATGATTGAAATTCGAGTTTTACTCCAAACAACGTTTTCTTATTGCAAGATGCTTTAAAATTGGACAATCACATATGAAAGCATTGTAGAAAAGTTGCCAAAAAATATGAGGAGCGTTCTCCGAACACAAAGTAATAAAGCACTGCAGACTATTGTTAAGAACTTTGTACCAGTATTGAGAGCCTAACTCTCATATGTACATAAAAGCGAGAGGGGACCGGATGCTGTACAAGTGTCTACAAAATGAAAAACTAAAGTCCCATTGACACTTTGGAGGCAAATACACATGCATCACTTTGACTTGTGCTCATGAATAGCATTTTAGGCTTACGCCACTGTCTTTGAAATTCACATATTTTCCAAGGAAAGAGTAGTCAGCTTATCCATAGTGCAGCAGTTGGCGTACCTACCGCTTACCGAAATCGGATGATACTAAATTTGAACTTCACTTAATTTTTCGAACTGCTGTAACTTCAAGCACATTCGTTTTTGAGTAATACAAATGTCAGTGCAAAGACAATGGTGTTTACAAGACACACGCATTCTACGGGCTCACAGTACTTCATCTCGAGCCAGCATATATTGTGGCGTTTGCGCAGAATTATTCCAATCACAGTGAGCGCTGTAGAGCTCATTTGCACGTTTCTACGAATTTTTACAGAATGATGTCATAAAAGCAAGTCACGATTCTGTAATCTGAAGATAGTCCGGTCAGATACAAAAACTCAAAGTATAGATTCGCCCGTTCCCATAAAGCTCGCGACTTAGTGGCACTGAACTCGCTTCTACAGAGAGGAAACCGCTTCAGGAGCTGTGAGCGGAGCTGACCTGACGACCAGGACGAGTGAGTTCGATAAAGGCAGTGTCCAGACAAGTCTAGGCGTATGGGTTTCTTACCTGGGATTTGATGAGGGGGTCCTAACTAAGGCAGTGCCCAAGGGGCAGCGCAAATTGTTCATTCATGGCTGAATCCGTCCCCGAACACCCCGCGCCTGCGCCGTGACCTTTACAGCAAAGGAAGCTTCATCCGAAATTTTGCTCGGACGCTGCCTTTGATTAAGTGACCACTTGCATGCGTTTATAAAACTCAAAATGATTATGTATCATAAAAGTGCCCGTTCTAAACGGTGTGATTCAAAGGTTTGCTCTTCTGCGCAGAGTGAGCCATAATTCGATAACTGCAGACATGTTTGCAGTAATAAAAATTTGGCAAAAAGCTGATAATCAAGCGTTGGGCCATGTAAACGATGCCTGTTGCGTCAAACATTATTGTCAAAGACATGTTCAACATCTTCTAATTGTGCGCGTCTTCTCACAAGGCGTCTAACTCGGGACCAATACAATTGGAACTATCGTTTCCCCGTGGTTGGTATCGGGTAAATGTCTATCCACAACTTCTTGTCGCACACCAAAATGGTCAACTCTAAGCCTCTCTTTGGCAGCAAAAACGACGGTTGTTTAATCAAGTTCAAATGACTTGTAAGCTAATGACTGAAGCTGAATGTTCTTATGACCAGTACGTAGTAACACTCTTAATATTGAATATTAATATTGAATACTGTACATTTTTGAGGCTTTTTCCGCAAAATCCCGGATTAGAATTTCTCATACGGACAGCATTCACATTTGACAATGTACGTATATCTAACCAACTGCGCATAAACTTGCATATAAGTCTTCCGAGTCTAAGGCTGTGTGTACTACCGGAAGTTCCGGAAAGGTACCAGAAGCTCCGGGGCAGTTCACACAGTTCTCGAATTGTGCCAGAACTGTGCTGCATCCACTGCAGCCGCCTGCAAGCGGTTTTGTGGGAGTTGGGGATTCTTGACCGTTCTCAACGGTTTTTCTCAGATTTAACTCATTTTGTTCTCATTTCTCTATTCCACTCTCCCTTTTTATGGAAAAAGCCTCCTTTCTGAAGCGGCATGGTGAATGAGCGCAGTTATGTTTCCATTTCAGAAGAGAACAGGCTCAAAAGCAATGGCTCGGGAAAATTGCAATTGCGAGCTTTCTATCGCTCCTCGTCCTTCTGCATGCGCTGAGTTCAGGCTGTGCTTGAAAAGTCGAAAAACTGCTTTTCATGGCGTTTTCCGGTCTTGGAGATTGGGGATGGGCAAGCGATCGCCATTGAGTCGCGATTGGCTGCCTGAGCCAATTAGCCAATTGCCGCCGAAATGGGTGGAATCACAGCATCCTGCAGCCAGTCGCTGTTTTTGGAGGGAATCGCTCGCTCAGCTCCCTCAGCAAAGCCGGAAAACGCCGAAAAAGGGCTTTTTTGATTTTTCAATACATTCTCGGACTCAGCGGATCCAGAAGGCCAAGTAAATACAAAAAGCTCGCAGACGCAATTTTCTCGAGCCAGGGCTCGGCACGAGGTGGCTAGATGAAAAAAACGAAGTCTCCTCCTGACTTTTGCGAATTTTTACGAAGTCCCCTTTGACCCTCAACCAAATTTCTTCTAAAAACCTGAAAAATTCCCTAAAAAACGAAACGTCGACTAAAAATAACGTCGCCAAGTCGCCAATTTTGCATCTCTCTTCGGTCACAAAAACGAAATTCCCTTTGCTTTTCGTCCCAAAACGATATCCACCTTGCTTGTAAGCCACCTGTGCCTAGCCCTGTCTCGAGCCTTTAAGCAAGTTCAGACAGAGTGTGCAAAGCGGTTTCAAGTCTCTCACTTCCAGAATGGATGATAATGATAATGATAGAATGGACGTCAGAACATTGTCTCGAGGAATAAATGTGAAGTGAATGAATAATTTATTAATTCAAACAATCTACAGTTTCACCACTGAATCTGTTATTCAGATTGATCACTCCAACACTGTACGTCATTTTAGGAGTCGGGCCATCAGAAATGTAATTTTTTGGAATATTAATACTTAGTTTCTTGTAGCAAGGCTAAAAGTAGAGATATTCGAAGGCTTCTCAGGGAAGTGTAGATGACTTACCCCGAAGTAGTTACACCTGTGGTAGATGTTTATCTTAGGATCGATCATTGTCACTTCTCGCTTAGTTCCTTGCACAAAGAATGTTCCGGAGTTGTTAGTGTAACTCTCATCCAGTTTCCGATCCAGTGCTGGAACTTTTTCGTTTTTTTTCCTACCCAAAGATTAGGAGGAAATTCTCACTCATTTCCTTCTCGTATAGTTTTACTCGAATAGCAGAGGCAGGCAGTCCATTGCAAGTAAGTACTCCAGAAACAGCTACAGACTGTTCTCGACCGATGCCGAGCAAAGCCACGCAGGATGAAATGAAAAAGAGAGAATAGTACAGAGTATGCATCATCCTGAAAGCAAACCTGCTGAAGCGAAAAACCCAAAAAACTAAAGCATAAACAGCAAAGAGCACATTCTGCGATGTTAAATCGAGTCAGAAAAAGAATTCTTTACAGAAGTTTGTTTTCCATACGGCCAGAAATGTCACATGTTCTTAAGAGTCAAGAATTTTATAAATTTCGGGAAATAGAGCACCTAAAAGTGTATAAAATCAACATTTAATTATTAAAAGTATTTTTACATACAATTACCCACGTAAGAGGATTTCAGGTTGGGAGGGGGAGGGGATGAGTGTAGGCTAATCTTCATCTTCTTTTTTAACTCAAACCAAAGAAACAGCGGGTGCTACACGATTAGCTTTACGTGCTTACTACGATGACTGAGTATGAAGTTAGTGGAAGTTGAACTGTGATCCTATCTGGTTGATTGCTGGGATTTTTGAATTTCGTCTAAAATCGTCATGTATCAAAGATTTTTTGACTGTGTGGTAATCATTGTAGAGCGCACTGCCGCAGTGATTTGGAGCATAAATATTACATACGTATACATCCCTAATACTATTTTCCTAAAAAAATACTAGTCGTACTTTTTTGCGTCCAAATATTTTTTGTATTTTTGTTATCTTTGACAACCCAGCATTCACATAATATCTAGTTTCTTATCCGAAAACTTCCAAGTACATGTTCCCGTATAAATTTGAGAGCTAAAGACTCCTAAACTTATACTTATCACAGTATACATGATTTAGTGGATTGTCTAGGCACATACATGGGGCATAGACAAGCAAATTCCTTTATGAAAGATGTCCTGAGAACGTTATACAGCAAGTGGAGGTCAGTTTTCATTATCATGAAATCTCTACTAAGGGAAAAGTGGTGACGTGAGTCAGTATACCTGACAAATTATGACAAAGCACGAAAACAAGGATAAGCAAGGTGATCTGGTTATTACGGCTTTGGGCTAAAACACATGAGCATCTTTTTCCGAACGAAATTGCGAAATTTTTCCTGGAACGTTATCATCAGTAAATATATCAGATTTGTAATTGTTTTCAGCGAGGTGATTGCATTACGTTGGTAAATGTCAGAACATTAGGCAATATTTTTGATCTGTTGTTACGAAAAAAAAAAAGAATTTAGAACTGTGCACAACTGATTTTCGGCTACTTTTCAGTGTAATGAAAGCCTGATTAGCAGTCATTGTAAGCTTCTATAAAGCTGCTCCAAGGGTTGAAATAAACTAGAACTACATTAAATCAGTGAAGAGTGCGGCAGTTCGCAGTATGAAACACTTATATTACTAACCGCTTGAGCTCGGTAAATATTTGTGCAGTATACACAGTTTTACCTTGCGCCGGACCAAGCTCTTTTTTGACCATGACTCATGGGCAACGTCATCCTGTCTTAACGGCAGCGTCAGCTGAATCATGTTCTCTAGATAATTATTTGGTGCACAAGCCCCTAGAACTGAACTTGTAGAAGGAGAAGATGGTTTTGTATTTGGCGCCGCCCGCCCTTTTGAGCGAGCTCGCCCATCAGAATTTACTCATTCGCGCGTCTCCCATGACGAGTCAGTCAGTCATACTGGCAAAGTTCTACTTGTCAACGGAAATGTCATAGAAGCCCGTGCTAAAAAAAGCCTGAAAGGAGGCGGGGGGGGGGCACAATTTGCACTTCATATTCGGGATCAGAACATTGAGGGGGTGAGACTTATCAGTGGAAAGACATGTAGACCTAAAATTCAATTCTAGGCGCACACTAGCTTTGAATCTACATTTTTTTCGTGGCAAACCATGTCAGTACAAGTTTTGACATGTATACCAACAATCAGTGGTTGAAAACAAGGTGATTGGTGGAGTTCATTTCATTCTCCATTTCGCTTCAACAGCTTCTCGTCATCTTTTCAAAGCTCGCCAATTGGATACAACTGTGCCTGAAGTCAACAAAGCATCAAGATGTCTCATAAGGATATGGCCCGTCTCCAGCGGACAGTAATGGAAGGCGTACGAAATGTGGGTTCCACAACTACTATCGGAGGAAGTGTCTGGGTAGAAACTGATGCCTGGACTTCTTTGTGAAAAAAGGTTGAGAGGTCTCGATTAGGCCCCAAGCAGCAGTTCATATGTTTCATTTGCGAAAGAGAACTCGAACTCTAAATTCGCACCCAGTATCGTACTCGGGAGCGCTGATTGGTTGGTATTCTCGTGGAGAGTACGATACTGGACGATAGTTTGCTAATGAATTTCGCAGCCATGCATGAGCTATATTAGCTGGCGTTTGGGCAATGAATTACTTAAAGGCTGCTGCATGACGAAGGTGCAATACCGGGCGCGATCGCGGCTTTGTTAGCCACAGAGCGCGTGAAACGCAGAATTTACAACGGTGAGGATACGCGCGCGTCGCGTTCGCGCCCGCTCGACTGATACGGCTTCTGCGCCTTCGTCATGCAGTAGCCTTTATGTTTCCCAGATCAGTTTCCACAAAAGAAGCCCAGGCTCACATTTGGATGCCAGCTGTGAGAACACCTATATTTATTTCTCATTCAGGTGATACGATCACATTCGCTTCTATTTTCGGCGACAGGAAAACCAGCAGCTCAGCAGACATGGACTGAGTTGACGAATGGCATAACGGTCTTGCGAAGAACGCTTAGTAAACTCGAAGCGCATGCATACGGTAAGGGCTCGTGACAGTTAAGATGGAGCATTTTTTTACGTAACCAGCCTTTATTCGACAGTATCTGGCCTTTATTGCTAGTGACTCTGAAACTTTAAATGGCCTTTAGGCAAAATTCGCTTCGCGGCAGCTTGTATGATTGGCTGGTGTACGGCTTTAAAAAAACCCCCCCAAATCGTACCCTTTCGGAGCGAGCCAAGCAAAGTACCGTACTCGCGGACTTTGATTGATCCGCTTAAGAAGGATACGGTATGAGGGAGATGAACTTGGTCAGGTACGAATGAACCATATGAGCTGCCGCGTGAGCAAAACCAGAATTCCTTTTGAGTTTTTTGTCGGAAAAAGTAGAAACATAACATTTGATTCCACTGGTTGGCGGCTGGAAAGCGGGCTTTATGACCTAATTAAGGCCGCTCGCGCCCGCACGTAGTCTGCGTCTCTTCCGCGCGCGTGCTCTCTGATAATTATCTAGTCTTGACTAGGTCACGAAGCCCCGCCTTCCAGCCGCCAAGCCAGTTGAATGAAAGGGTAGTTTCCATCATTTGACCATTCTTCGCAATTTACTGATTGACAGCTAGTAAACCCATTCAGACGTCCTGATGACTCGTTTCGAAAAAGTGAACGTGAACAACTGTGGCCAAACGAAGAGATCGCACAGTGGCAACTCAAGCGATCCTATCGACAATGGAAGTCAATCTGAGAAAATCGGAGATGTGATGTGCATGAATGATGGGTCGGAAGACGAGTTTGATGTTGTGCAGCCAATCAGCGAAAAAGAACTTGGCGAGGTAATTTTAGCAAGCAATTGCTTTCTCTGAATCTGTCTCAATAGCAGTGTCCCCATTCGATCAAACATCCGCCTCGCGAATACCTTGAACCGCGTCTGCATGCGTGCGGCTTGAACGACCAATCAAAATTCGCGCTGGTCGGAGGTTAGCTCACTCGTGTTGCGTATGCACAGCAACTCTCAAAGGGACACTGCGGGTTGAAACAGACTGTAGCTTTGTGACAATACCCTCTTTTATACAGGAATGGTCAACAGTGATTCGAACCATCGCTAGCTCACTTCCACCTCCTCAATATTTCAAAAAAGGTGATAGATTTGTGGCAAAAGTGCTCAGTGCAATTTCTCCCCTGGAATTTTATGTGATCAAAGTTGCCCATATCAGGTAACAACAAAGCTCCGCCATCAATCAAGACTTTCACTAGCCATTTTCAGCGTTTTGCGCGAGATCGAACGCATCTTGTCCTACTGCGACGAAAAGCTCTGCCGCCATCCACTCTTGGACTCACAGTGTCGTCCAGAACATGCTTGCTTAGTCAGATTTGACGATACCCTTGCAAGAGCTAAAATCGGTCTTAGCGGAGCCTACGAAATGCAGGTAGATCATTTCCTCATAATCTCAAAATGATGTCCAATTATTCCAGGTGTATCTTGTGGATTACGGTAGGTCGCTTTTTATTGGACGATCCCAGTGTTTTGCAATGCCAAAGTGCATTGCACAGTATGCACCGCCACTTGCACACAATTGCACATTGAGCGGTACGTTCAGGTTTACAAAGGTGGGGAGGGGGGAGGGGAATGGGAAGGGGAGAGTAGAGGAGTAAAGAAGGAAACAGCCATTTTGTGCAGTTGCACCATTTTAATTCTTCGGCAGAAAACGAGTGACACTGGAGCCTACGACGAACAAAAATATAAAACGACGTATAAAAATAAAACAAAAATGTTCAAAGTAGAAAAAAGGTACTTCAAGGCTACGGCTTGTTTCAACAGTTTGAAAAAGTAGTGCAATTACACAAAGTGGCTGCTGTAAAGGGCCAGGCATGCTTCACGCGATTTCAGTCGCGACGCGACTTGGCAGTATTCCAACTGTTTATAACTCACTGTAAGCACATTTCAAAGGCTTTGGCCATACTTTGCCCGTGTTGCCGGTGTTGAAAGTGTTGCCGGTGTTGAAAGTGTTGAAAGTGTTGAAAGTGTTGCCAGTGTTGAAAGTGTTGAACGGAGGTCATCAGTCTAGCAGTTTCATTCTTTCTCGAACGATCTCAACGGCTGGTGAATACGTTGGAAATGGAATTGGGGAATGAGAAATGAAACTGAAATGAGATGGGGAATGTTTTCGCATGAAAAGACCCTCAAACAAACTTTTTGAAAAGTGGACGGCTTGTCTGGAATAGGCAATCTCCAATGTATGAAAAAGCTGAAGTCTGAGTAGTAATGTGTGTTTTAGTTCGAATCCTGCCGCGCTTGCGATTAGTGAGTAAAGGACCTAAGTGAGGTTTGCAGCGTTTTCCTATTCCAGACAAGCCGTCCACTTTTCAAAAAGTTTGTTTGAGGATCTTTTGCATGCGAAAACATTCCCCATCTCATTTCAGTTTCATTTCTCATTCCCCAATTCCATTTCCAACGTATTCACCAGCCGGTGAGATCGTTCGAGAAAAAATGAAACTGCTAGACTGATGATCTCCGTTCAACACTTTCAACACTTTCAACACTGGCAACACAACACTTTCAACACCGGCAACACGGGCGAAGTATGGCCAAAGCCAAAGGTACAGAAGATATGGCATTTTATTAATCCACGTAAGTTATACACACTATGCATGTACAGTTTGTTAGTGTTGGATCTGAAGACTTCTGGCGAATTGCCAAATCGTGTCGCGACTGAAATCTCGTGAAGTATGCCCAGCCCTTAATGTGGTCGAGTGTATAGCTTGACAAAGTTGACAGTAAAAATAGTGTCCCTGCAATGCCGACAACATTTGCGCGTAAAATGCCAATTTGCTCTGATTTACGCGCAGGTCGCAAGCAAATTAACGGCATCATCAAGCATGGCTTCTGTTTTCGCGCAAATGTTGTCATTACCGTGAAATCATATTGTATATTGATCTTATTTCTTAGAAGTTAGGCTTGTCAAATGAATTTCTTTATCAAACAAATTTAGATGCGGACAGTCGCGCGCTGGACCATGCTGCCGTGAAATCATTCCATGAAAAAATCGTCACTGCCAGCGAGCTCGTTCTCAGAAGTAAGTAGCACATTTACATCATCAGCTGCATCCATACAAACCCTTATTTTCAGGTTACGGTGAATCCCGACGTTCTCATGGTGAAATTGTCGACATCATCGGTTAAGTCGGAACGGTTCAATCGCTATCATATGTCCATACCTGCGATATTGATACGTACCCTTAATCGATTGTTTAATTTGATATTTAGATCGTTAGGGAGTCGTTAGTCGGAGGAGCCAGCTGTGTTAATTGATTGTATTTGTAGTTTTTGTGTTTTAAATGAAGTTTTCTTGAAAAAGGATATCTCCTTGCCAAGAAGACGCCTCAGATTTTAGTTTGCAGGCATAAGAAATTCTATAAGGGATTGTCCATTTGAAAATTACAAGTTAATGTTTTCGGGGGCTATCTACGAGTGAATCTGGGATCCTCGCCACATCAATCTCTCTATCGAAATTACATTTTGCTCATATGAGCGGCTTTGCTTTGTGTTCCAAAAAATAATTTGATCGTGTTGCAGTATTCATATGACTAATATAGACCACAAGTTTTTGTTGTTGTTTATTCAGATAACCTATATTCAACTTTTTGAATTTCCCTAGCTGCTAGCTCTTCGCTACAAGAACTGTACAGTTCATATTATCCTAATTATGTCACAGAAACCGGGAGTTTTCAATATTGAAGCAAAATATAAGCTTCTCATCCGAGCCCATGGAAAGAAACAGTTTTAAAAAAGTTCACAAAAAATGAAGCCTCCTTATACCGCTTAGAAAAGCGGTATAAGGAGGCCCCATTTTTTATAGACCCTATTTCTTATTTGTACGCTTTATGCAATTCAAATTATGCGCTGGAAATACACAGGGTGTCCCAGAAATGTACCTACTGTTTGCTCGTTGATAACTCTCTATCTTGAAATGTTTCAAAAGGTTTTGAGCACTTAAACTCATAGATTAAGTAACCGGTCTCTCTTCATTACTGTACGATTACGGTAGGAACCCGCAGCATATGGAGCCACTGTAAGTTAGGCTGTTCGGAGAAAAACTTGAAAAAAAACTGTAAAATTGTTTGACAAGGTTTTCATGCAGCTGATTTCACTATGTAACTGTTTGCAAGTTAGCAGAGCTTTTTGGATGGCGTAATCAAATTTCTGACAAGTATCGGGAAACGGATGTTACCGTGTATCTGTCAAAACTTATGAAAAAAGCTTATGGTGAGGTGAAAATATCATATTCGAAATCAGCTACTTTGATTAACCTAGTGCAGCACTTCTTTAGTTTTTATCAGGAATGAATTAGACCCTTAGGCCCCGGGCAGACTTCACGCGATTTGATCGTCGCGACTGAATCGCGACGAGACAACTGTTACAACATCATTCCATGCCGATCAACTTGCATTCGGTTGTGATACTTTTCCAGCCGGAAATTTCTGAATGTGAAATGAAAATGAATGGAAATCTTGGCGATTAGATCGCGACGATTAAGTCGCGTGAAGTCTGACCGGGGCCTTAGTGACGTAAAATCCTCTATAAAGTTACCTATTTCTCAATCTATGCACTTTTGAATTACAAAAATACATTTCAAGTGTTTCCTTCAAAAGCTTGTGCCACTGTGAAGTACAATAATGTAAATCAATGCTTCTTCAGTCAAGCTTTACTAATTGTAGACGCATATTTCTTCTTTTTAGAGACGACCAGAGTTGCAGAAAAATGTGAAAGATTTATAAGGTGATCTACTGCAAAGACTACTCCATCACTTTGTTGTTTTCAAATTGAGTTCTCCGGACTTCTTCTATTTTTCTACAAGAGCATACCAAGCAAATATGGATTTTTAACCATTCATACTCAACAGTCAACGAGAAAATAACTTGTTTTCTCCGAAAAAGCTTTTAATGAAGTTAGCCAGCTAGCATCGCGTCACCTGCATGTTTGTTGAACTTAGGCATGGTTGATGAGTAGTATTAGAAACAGCATGTTAAGTCATTCTTATTGATCAGAATACCTTTTTAGGCTATGCCGCATTAACATTTCTGTAAAGCTTTTTCAAAATTACACTTTTATTTGTAAGCAAATTAAGTCTTAATGCCTTAAAGGGCCTACAATTTGGTGACTGTATTACTCATTTTCAATCCTACACTCTTCTCTCTCTGTAGCACAAGAAGACATGGCCTGGCACAGCTGGGATTGAGCAAACTGGATATCGTTTTTGTGGCCGAAAAGACACAAAATTTGCGACGTTTTTTTGGAGATTTTCTAGGGATTATGGTCTAGGGTCAAAAAAGACTTCATAAAAATTCGCAAAAGTCAAGGGAGACTTCGGTTTTTGCATTTTCAACTAGCCACCTCGTGCCGAGCCCTGATATGTACAATTTGCAAAACTTGCATTGCAGTAATATCAAACTCTGATTTAAGAAAGAATTAGCATCCACTTCGCGACAATCATTTATTTCAATGCAAGTCCATGTGGTATGGTGTAGACTCCAGTCCAGGACGTGCAACTTTCATCAATGTTGTCTGGCTGCATTGTTTACCTTGACTAGTTTTTAAAAGTACTTGTTGTTCAAATTGGAAGGTGATCACAAAGGCATATTGTTGCTCTTGTTTCCTTCTACTTGTCTTCATATGAGATCGGGTTTTTTTTTCTGAAATTTACATTTGGGTATTTGACTTTCTGGTCATGCAGAGCGTGTTTCCTTTTTAGTGCTAGATACAAATTCTTATTTGTGTTTGTCATTGCACAACGCTACATTTCCATTGATTGCTCTGTTTACCTCCGTTTTAAGTCCCTTAACATCAAAAATAACAATTTGATTATTTGTTAATGTTCTTCTTAGGGTGTTCCCTGTGCATAATCGATAAATAAGTAAACAAATGAATAAATAAATATTCTCCTGCCAAATCGAAATGCTCGATAGAACTGCATATTGAACCAATGTTTGCAATACAGGTCAACAGCAATTAATTTTTATGGGGAATGAAAATAGGAGCAAGAGAGATCGCATGTTCACGCTAAGTTGACGATAACATTGGTTTTCGCCGAACACTCAGAAATCAAAATCTTTTTGACCTCCCCCCCCCCCCCCCTCCTCTCCCACTCTTTCTCTCCTTCTTGTTGTGCGATGCTTGTAGCTTTGCCAGCAGAGTACTCTGCTAGTGAGTAGATAGTAAATGAGGCTGCGAATTGACTATTTTGGATTTTACAAGAAATGACCGTCCAAAAAAAATTTTTGGGGGAAGAAAGGAAGCAAAGTAGGGATGTTTTGATGAAAGAGCGAACTTTACGTCCTTTGAAACTTCGAAGGTGGCCAATTTCATTTTTAGATTACTAATTATTTCTTTCCAGACAAAAACATGTTGACTGCGTGATTTGTAACTCATATAAATCACTTAACAATTTCGTATCCTCTCGAAGGGGGAGCGGAAAGACGCACTCCACCAATGCTCCGCCACTGCTTGCTAGCAGATATGCTGTGCAAATTTCAGTTGCCAGTGCAGTCACCGTCTAAACAGCATGAGCGTAGCGAGATCTTGATGCCGTTTAATAGCGGTGCAACTGAATAATCGCCAAAATCCCGCTGCACAAGAGTAATACCGAAGCGAGAAAAACGCTCGATTAGGTAGAAGCGGCAGAGGTGGCTCCGCCCATCGACGTGAGTGGTCTGAAGATAACAGCTCAAAACTGGGCTCTGATGTACCAATTGTTATAGATCCGCCTTTGTTATAATTATCGTTTTTCGACACTTCTATCTATCTTATCCCACTCAAGCTCACAATCTTCAAAACCGCATCGATGGGCGGGGCCACCCTCGCCGTTTTTAACTTCTAAAGTGGTTTTCTCGCTTTGGAATTCATCTTTTGCATCCGGACTTGGGCGACTACTTACTAAGGAACTCCGCTATTAAAACGCCAAATCTGATCATCTAATTTGAGGAACGGTCCTTTAATCAGTGCAAAAATCTTCTTTCACCCTTCAAACCGATTGTCCATCAAATCTCAAGCGGTCAGATGTTAAAACGTCTCGTAATTCCAAAATCTTGATTGTCAACATTCTCAATCTGGACCCATAGCAGCAATCAGTCATGCACTTGTTCCGCTAGTTGTAGTTCTCATTGTTCATCTCATTGATTATCGTACACCGACACAGACGATTGTCTTTGTACGATCATCTTTCAATACTTTCAAGGTTATGTGGCTACATAATAGAGTGTACAGTGTCGTTTATCACTGGGTTTACGATTCGCATTGCTGTAACACCTCTTCTGCTGAGCGATGTCATTTCATTGCTAAAATTTTTCGGTGTATTGGAGTTCATATGAGATTTCTTTCCCATTTTTTTGCAAAGTTGACGCTCATACTCAAAAAAAAGCATCGAAGTGTGAAGGATCTGCGTTTCCACACTACAGTGTCCAAGAAAGAATCTACGTAAACTTCTACCTGCCTCGAGTTCTTATAATTCATTGATTTTTGTGCGTCGAAAGATTGTAATGTCAATAATTTTCAGATATGAGGCTTCTCTTGGCTTTCCTTCTTCCAGTCATCTGTCTAGCTCTTCCACCAATACTTCCACAACTACGAACGCTACAGAGTACAGCAGTCGAGGGTAAACTGCTCTGCAATGGAAAGCCATACGAAAAAGCTCGAGTGAAGCTGTATGAAGTTGATCCTCGTAAGTATGCTAGTTGTTATCAGTTTCTACGAAGAAGAATTATGAGTCAGAAGGGGGTAAAAATTTTGAGGACGCATCAAAACTAGGTTTGAGTTTGAAGTGCATTTCGACTTAGTAAGAAAGAAACTTTGCGTTTTTATAACTACTTTCGTTCTTTTATACCTCCACCTAAAAGATTATGAGTCAGACCTTCTAGAGTTAATAAAAAGTTAAGTTCAGGTTTCTCAACATTTGCATCAACTAAGGCGTTTTTTAGAAAAAGATTTCAATTATTCGCTGACATCAAAATAACAAAACAATGATAGAGAAGAATGATCATTTGGTGGTCGAATGAAGTACACAAGTCAAAAACAGAAAATAATAAAAATACAAAACAGGAATAACTGATTAAGTACTATGAACTTCTCTCTCCAGGACTGTAAAGCAATAATTTTGCAGAATTTTCCTTCAAACTAAATTAATGTTCCATGTTTTCCAGATTAGTTTATATAAGGTGTGCAATTGCACAGGGTTTTACTCGATACTTAATCCTTTTGTTATCAGCTGTAAGCTAACTCCCTGTTTTTTGAAATTGGAAGAATAAAAAGACAAAATTGGTTTCAAATAGGATTTTGCGGCTAATATAGACATCCCGCTTCCATATTTGCAAACATTAGTGATTAGAACTGCTTGGTTGTACTGTTTCAGCAAAAATTGGCAATTTTTTGCTATACAAGTTAAAAATAGAACTCTCTACATAACAGAGCCACACAGAACAATAGTGGTGTAGATGTAACCAATATTATGTGGAAATGCACAAGAAACTGTCTCCACCTTGAAAGGAAAACAAACTCTTAGAGAAGTCTCGCCTACCATAATCTTTTGCGCAACTTCTTCCTATCTCTCTACAAATACGAAATTTTATCTCAGACGTAGTGATATATAGCCAAATAGGGTGTTAAATAAACGCAGATTATTTTGCTGTAAAAAAATTAGAATTGAAAATAAAAATGACTGAATCAAGCGATGTTGGCGCTAGTCATCTTGCTTTCGCTATTGAGCTTCCATTCTTTCAGTTATCGACACTCTAATGGCAGAGCAGCTTTCGGACAAAGATGGCTACTTCAAACTTTCTGGAAATGATACCGAATGGTCAAAAATCGACCCTAAATTGAACATCTACCACAATTGCGAAGATGAGAATGTTGTGAGTTACGATACGCTCTATTTTGTAACAATTAAAAAATTTTATACAAATTTGAAGTGGACAAAAAAGCGGAGCGGAAAAGAGTCGTAAGCAAGAGATTATTATTTCCTAGTAAGTAAAGCATTTTTTGATTTTGGAAGATAGTCGACAAGCTTTTGAAAATAATTTTTTAGGGTTTTCTTTTTGAATCCAAGAGATAATTCAGTAGGCCTTCAAAAGTATCCCAGAAACTATGCTACATTTTTAAGGCTCCTACGTTCTTCCCAAATTCTGTTACAAGCACATGTGTTCTTAATTTTTAGCATAATAGTTCCTTATTTAAAGTGTAATTGGTAGGAATTCTAACGCATGTAATGTGGCTCAAGTAGATAACCGCTCTCACAGAATTTTTACAAAATTCAATACTTTTGTCCTGAAAAAGAATCACTAAGTTTTTCATTTATCTGAAATCGCATTTTACTCCAAACTAGGACGCTGATGGTTTCTCAAACCTCTTTCTCATCCAGGAATGCTGGCGCAAAGTCTCAATAAGAATACCAGTCGAGTATGTTACTGAGGGAGGTGTGCCGGAAAAGACTTTCGATATTGGAACTCTTAACCTCAATGCGAAGCTGCCAGGAGAAACTCGAGATTGCCTCAACTAATTCTCTTATATTATTGGATCTCTTCGAATAAAAATTTTTCTTTTCGCAAAGTCATTGGTACGTATGTATGGAATGAAAATTTGTGCGCATAGTAAGAATGGTTGGTCTGTCACTCTATACTAGTTCACAAAAAGTAGTGTAAGAAGGTATTTTTAGAATTATCCGTTCACTTTGTCTCCTTGTGAACCTCTACTGTAACTTCCTCCTTCTCCTTGGAAAGAAATGTCTTACTCTTCTTGGGAAGAATCTCCTTCGACTAGATCAGTCCTAAGCCATCAAACCAAGATAAATCAATTAGAATTTTCTCACGACAAAAGCTTCACTTAAACGCTGTAATCATCACCACTCGCTAAGTTTACAGTTAGGTTCAGAAAATTTCTCCCATACTTTTCCCTGCCCCCTCTCCTCTCATCGCCCCCGCCGAAAATTGCAGAGGAGCTACCATTTTCAACAAATATTAGGTTGTTACATAAGTCTTGTTACACTTAACTTCTAACGGCGATAAGTCATACACCTCATAGTCTTTGCAGGACTTCAAGGTACCATTCGATAGAGCAAAGCAAGCTCTACAAGATGGTATGCAAAAGTTCGCACCAGCTCCGACCCACCGTAAGTTTGCACCCAAAATCTGAGTCGTACTGAAATTCAAAAAATCGCGAAAAATTCATATCTTTGTTCAAACAAATCCTACGGATCTCCAACTTGTTCACAAAAATTGCCCACTACATCAAACACTCATATGTACCGTTGCTGTATTTTTTCCTTATCTAGAAATCGAGCAAAAAAATTTTTTTTAGTTTTCAGAAAAATGAAGCTATGCTGTTTCTATTCAAGTAGCTGTATACTACAAGCTCTTAGAAGTATGACCGTAAATTTTCAGCTTCCCAGAAGCCCTAGTTTTCGAAAATTACTTAATTTAGCATTGAACACCCGAGTGATAAAAGCTAAATTTGGTATTTTTTCAAAAACCAGAGCTTCTGAAAAGCTGAAAATTTATGGTTATACCTCTAAGGGCTTGTAGTATACAGCTACATAAAAAGAAACAGCATAGCTTCGTTTTTGTAAAAACTAAGAAAAATTCTTTTTTTCGATTTCTAGATAAGGAAAAAATACAGCAACGGTATATATGAGTGCTGGATATAGTGGGCAATTTTTGTGAGCAAGTTGGAGATCCGTAGGATTTGTTTGAACAAAGATATGAATTTTTCGCGATTTTTTGAATTTCAGTACGACTCAGATTTTGGGTGCAAACTTATGGTGGGTCCGAGCTGGTGCGAACTTTTGCAGACCGTCTTGTAAAGCTTGCTTTGCTCTATCGAATGGTACCTTGGAGTCCTGCAAAGACTATGAGGTGTATGACTTATCGCCGTTAGAAGTTAAGTGTAACAAGACTTATGTAACAACCTAATACATCCACCGCTATCAAAAGGTGGCAAAAGCTGAGGAAAGGGGGAGGGGGGAGGGAAGTAGGGAATAAAGCAGAAGAATGTTACATCATCCATTCTCCTTATCGTCCTCTCCCATATTCTTCACTTCTTTGCATTCACTTAGTAAGTAAGTCTCACCAAAATATTTTAAGAATTTTTCATCTGTATTTCTAACAAAAACACTTCTCGTTAGATTCAATGCTTGGAAAAAAAAAAGACTCGCTTTTTCATAGTGCTCAATGGAAAAAATTATTTTGTCATATCATAGCGAAACAAGCTGATAAAGAGGAAAACTGATGTAATTTACAAATTTTCGACCTCTAGAACTGCGAATAGGCACAATTGAATCTGATTTCACCTTTACTATGGTGATTTACTTTTTAAGAATGCGTGATAAGCGGGTTCTGGTACTATTTATTCAGGAGTATTTTGATCCAACATTTGAAATTTTGTTTTGAGTAAGGCCTTCAATGTGGATAATATACTTACTTACTTACTTAGATACTTAGATGGCCCGGCTTCACGTGACGTGCGGGCCCCAGCTCAGAAGTTTCCATTTTTCCCTGTCCCTCGCTTCTGACATCCACGATCTTCTTGGCTGACGTCGGTGGCTGCGTCCACGAGTTCCAGGTGCAAAAATCGTATCCAGCTGATTTCTCAGCTGGTCCATCCGTTCCACGAACACGTCTGCCCATCTCGTTGGAGGTCTTCCTCGGGGACGTTTGGCTTCGCGAGGAATCCACTCCGATGTTCTTAGTGTCCATCTGTCGTCTGTTCTTCTCATTATGTGACCGGCCCATCGGTGTTTGGCTTTCGCGACGTATTCCGCTGGGTCACGAAGACGGGACATTCTTCTCATATCCGTGCTGCGAAGTCCGACTAGATGTTGCTTGCATCGGGTCATCTTCAGAAGACTGCGCTCGAGCGCTCTGTGGGTGGTCCGTAAAGCTTTCGACGTGGCTACAGTGTCGGGCCAAGTCTCAGCTGCGTGACAGAGCGCCGGGAGAACGGTTGAGTCGAACAGGTGGGCACGAAGCTCCGGGTCCGTCAGTTGGTCGGTGGCTTCCTTCAGGGGCCCGAAGGCGGCCCAGGCTGCTCTTATTCTCCTGTTGAGTTCTTCCCTCAAGTCGTTCTCCATGTTCATCGAACGTTCGAGATACACGTAGGAAGACGTTTCCGTAATCGGGGTGCCTTCCAATTCCATTTCTGCATCTTCGCAAAGGGCGTTCTTCATGAACTGAGTCTTCTTCCGGTTTATTCGCAGTCCGGTCTTCTTCCCTACTTCGTTTAGTTCCTTCAGCATCGTCTCTGCTTCGGTGATACTGCTCGAGAAGAGAACGATGTCATCCGCAAAACGAAGGTTGGACAGGAATCTCCCATCAACTCGTATGCCTCTCTCGTCCCAGTCCAGTGACTTCATCACCCACTGCAAGGCCGCGGTGAACAGCTTCGGCGAGATTGTGTCGCCTTGTCGGACCCCCTTCCCGATTGGTATGGTCAGGGGGCGATGGAATAGCTGCATCGTCGTTGTACAGTCCTTGTAGCAGTCGGCTAACGTCCTCACGTAAGCTGGGTCCACTCCTTGATCGACTAGCGCAGACAGGATGGCGTTGGTTTCGACGCTGTCGAAGGCTTTCTCGTAGTCGACAAAGGTTAGGACGAGAGGCAGTCGGTACTCCCGGCAGACTTCTATGACCCTCGAAACGGTCTGGATGTGGTCCATGCAGCTGAATCCTTTGCGAAATCCAGCTTGTTCTTGGGGTTGGGCTTCATCCAGTGTCCTTGATATGCGAGCGAGGATAATCTTCGTGAAAAGCTTGTACAGCACACTCAGCAAGCATATTGGACGATAGTTCCGAAGATCCTCCCGTTCACCCTTCTTGAAGAGAAGGACGATTCTTGACGTTCTCCACTGGTCGGGAATCTTCTCCTTCTGAAGGTAAGATGTCAAATGCGACGCTAGAATCTCGTGTAGACGGTGTCCTCCGGCTCGCAGAAGTTCGACGGAAAGATGATCTGGTCCTGGAGCCGTGGACGTCTTCATGGTCTGTATCGCGATACGCACTTCAGCAGGTAGAATTCGTGGTGGTACTTCTCCAGTGGGAACAACGGGCATCTGCACGGGTGTTGATGAGCGGAAGAGGTTGGTGTAGAAGTTCTTCGCGATAGATTCCATCTTGTATCGGGAAGAAGTCGGAGTCCCGTCTTCGTTCAGTAGTGCAGCCAGCGGTACGTGATATTCGCAGAGGTCCCTTCGGCACTTCTTGAGACTTCGTCTTCTTTCTGCTGCTTCCAGTATCTTGGCTTGCCTGTACTTCCTGAGAACCTCTTGCAAAGCTGTTCTGCAACTGGTGTTGGCAATCAGTCGCTCGAGATGAGTTGCATTCGGATCCTGCCTCAATGATCTTCTTCTTTCGAGCAATTCCTTGGTGGTCTTCGAGATGCGGTCCAAGTTCTTCTCAGAAGTCACTGAGGCGCATTCTCCGCAGGCTCGCAATCCTTTCAGAAGCCGGTCGTAGTCGTACGTTGGGTCCTCCTCGATGGGCCAGTCACAACTTGATATGAGCTCTTCCAGCCTGTTACCGTCATAAACGACTTCCTTTCTTCTCGCGGCACTATGACAGACTTTCTTTTCCAGCCTTCGGCTGAGTCGTATCTTCGCTCGAAGGAGGCGGTGATCGGAGCCACTACAGAAGGATGGAACTACAGAGACATCGAGTAAGCTCCACCTTCGGTTGGTGAGAATGTGGTCGATCTCCGCGTGGGTCGTTCCGTTGGGCGATTCCCATGTCCACCGGCGATGTTCCTTCTTCATAAAGATGGAATTTCCATGGAAAAGTCGTGCGGCGGAGAGAAGCCCAACAAGACGGTTGCCGTTTTCGTTCTGGAGCCCATATCCAAACTTCCCGATCCTATATTCCCTTTCCAGTGGCATCCCGATTTTCGCGTTGAAGTCGCCCACAACAAACTTGTAAAAGGACTTCTCGTTGCGGACGACCTCCTCCACATCTTCGTGGAAAGCATCTAGTTCTGATTCGTCAGCTGCTGATGTTGGAGAATAGCAGTTGATGATGCTGATGGTCTTCTGATGTGGAGGTCGTAGTCGTAGGATGCCTAGTCGAGGTGATAGGATCTCGTGCGAATCGACAAGATGGACGATAGATGGGTGGACGACAAAGCCGACGCCTCCCACGTTTCGTGATGGAACCTTTTCACCACGAATGATGAGGGTCCCATCACTCATCTGTCGCACGTCCTTCTTCCTGGACTTCGTTTCCTGCAGAGCGATGATGTGGTAGTTGATGTGCTCTGCAGCGTCGAGAAGAGCGTGGAGGTCGGCGTTTGTGGAGACTGTCCTGGCGTTGTAAGTGCAGAGCATGAGGCAGTCTCCATGGCGTGTCGTCCGGGCAGACGTGTCGTTTTTGTCCAATCCGAAAGGCGCCCTGAGTACCCTGACATCGTTCTTGCTACCACCCGGCGCCGTAGGCGGGATCCGATGTACAGGGTTTTTTCTAAATCTTCTTGCTGTCTGAGTAATAAAATTTGTTCCCCTACAAGAGGTGGCTTACTAGACCTACTCTTGATTTCCACGGGGTGATCGCTGACCCCGGGCTTGGAGCGGGGAGGGACCGCCTAGCGACCAGAAGAAGCCAGACGGCGGAGAATCTGGCGCGGCCAGTTCTTAGCTAGGCATCCGGCCGAAACCGGAAACGTCGAACTCCTTCACAGCTTGGGAGGCCCTACCAGAGTATACACTCGGCTGTGCATCGCAGTTCGACACCCAGTGTCACTCCCACGCCACGATGAGGCGACCGACCATTGTGGGGGGGGGGGGGGGGGATAATATAGGGCACTGGTAATATGCTATAAAAAGAATGTGGAATTGTAATGTCTTTTTTGAGCATATTTGAACAATTTTTCACATCTTTTGGCAAATTATGGACTAACCTGATAAATGAGCTAAATCTTATAGTATGAAAGCGAAGAATACGCATTTGTAAAATATCTATTTTTATGGGCACTTTGAATTCCTATCCAAGCAACATTTTGAGTCTGGCTTCTTGGCAAAAGCACGCATGTATCAAAAAGTAAGGAAACATGATTCAACCCGCCAACTTTGAAAGTTTTTTCAAAGGACCGACATGAATTCCCCCAAAGAACGTTTGTGGCTCAATTCATCATCTCGCAGGCGCAGGCCATTAGGGACTTCAGCCTTTCGAAGTTGATTCCATCGTTCTTGCAAAAACTCATTCTGCTAATTTAGGAAAAACGGAGAAGAGGAAGATACAAGACAATGCCGCGTAAAACAAAAGCCAGTGTACTCTAAGGGAGACATATTTCGGTACTATTCCGTTATCCGGACCCATTTTTTCAAAAGCCTCTCATATTATACCTTCTTTAGTCTAAGAATAATTTTTCATAGATTCTACGATGGCTACCTTCTTGCCACGTGTCACGAAAAAATTGACACGTTTTGGTTCATTTTGACATGTTTTTTCGAAATCATTTCCAGTGAGATGGAGAATTTGTGATCACTCCGAAGCTGTTCCACTGTTTTACATAAGAGCAAGACAACCATGAACTCTTTTTAGAACATCTTGCTTGCTTTCAGCAATGATCAAAAATGTTCACCATGCAAATTTAGCCAGCAAAGGCTATAAATGATAGCTTAAAGTGCTTTGCTGCTGCTTATTTTGCCTTTTAAATGACGGAATCCTAGCGAATTTCTCTATTCTGAGGAAGCTAGACTCTTCATCGATAAAAGTATATCGTCATTATTATGACATTGTCATTTTGAAACTGTCTGATCGAAATGAGGTCAAAATTAAATAAAAAACAAATTGAAACTACATCGCTAAGTAGGATAACACAAACTTTTGGTAAAACCTGTTAAACATGTAGATGACATGTCAAATTCTTTTGACACGTGGCAGAAGGTTGACACTCTTTCCTGTGTAGCTGGGACAAAATATGGTACAAGAATAGAAGCAATTTCTTTATTTGAAAAAGTCCGGATAACGGAAAAGTACCCATATTTCTCCAATCTTGCAGGTTTTATAGTATATTTTATTCAAACTATATAGAAAAACACTTCATAAATGAGCATTTACAGAGCAATTATATTGCATTCAAGTAACGATGAAACCCTTGAACAAAGTATGTTCTACAATTAACCACTTTTAACAGCACTTCTAGGAATATATGGACTTTCTAGAAGCATGTCCTGTGTTCGTTTCATGGTTTCTTCTGGGGAAATCTGGAAAAAACTTTTTCACATTTTCTTTCTAAATGCTAAATACAGAGTATCTACCTCAGGGACGTAGTCGAGCAAGAGTCGTTGTTTCCTGTTCGAAAACCCGATTGTCTTAGCGAACAGAAAACGGAACATCGGGTACGATAACACGTCAGTGGGTGGCTGCAAAAAAAATGAAAAGACGAGTGCAGAGACAAGAAGATAGAAATCTACTCTCGCTCTCGGCCGAACCTTTATTCCGAGATTGTATTTGATCCAGTCGAGATAATGGTACAGAAATGATTTCTCGTATGAGATGGCGACCTTTGGTGAAAACAGCGATGAGCGTACACGATTCTCCAAGAACTGAAATGAAGGAATGCAAATGCAGACTGCGTTATTTTGAAAAGCTGGTAGCAGATGCAGTGATTCGCTTCAAGTTTTCCTCAGAAAAGTTCAAGATCTTATGTAAACCTTCTTGAGGAAGAGTTCTGAATAAAAAGAGGAGATGTTCCAGATGGAACTCCGAATCAATAACAGAATTACCTTTTTGATAGAAGTTGTGTACCCAATATAAATTTTATTTTTATGTTAATTGCATTGCATAAATATCGCGAAAATTTCGAGATTTTTCTTCAAACCTTCCAAGGTCTGATAGATGATTACCGTCTTTATAACGGACAATCAGAAAATAATATCAGTAAGAAATTTCACCTATATATAAAATTCAAAGTTTGTAAGCATGATGAAAGATATGTATGTTCCTCATTTAGTTTCTTACAATTACTTAAACCTGTGAGTAACCGATTAGGCTGTTTGTTCCCTTAGTCACATAACAAGGCTTCTAAGATTGCTAAGATTTTAGCTGGAGCAGGGGGGGAAGGAAAGGTGAAGGACGCGGAAAAAACGGAGAAAGGCTAAGTTGCATGCTTCGGACCAAATAGGTAATATGTGCTTTTTAGAGCTAAACTGACACAGATCCGAGCCGCGGGGATACTTAATAACAATCACAGGGATACCGTAACACGTTGTACTTATAACCAAAGAGCCATTCCGGAAAAAAGCGATCGAAATGACTAACAACGAGGGTAAAAACAGAAGAAGAGAGAGGAGAAGAAGACAACTTATCTAATTATAAAAAAGCATGACAAAAACTTGCTGAGTTTGATGCGAACAATAAGATTGGTAATCATTCTTTTCACAGCTGCAATGAACAAAAGTTGTAAATGTGATTTATGAAAATCCCTAATTATTTTCAATGGATTTTATGGCTGACTGACCAATCAGGGCCTGAATACAGCCAATCACAAGCTTCTCTATTTTGGCTATACAGGGTGTCCCAAAAGTAAGTACACACTTTTCAATCGTTAATATCTCTCTTCCCAATGCGTCTTTTTTCCCCCATTTAAGTACCATTCCGTAGAGGAGGCTTCAACTTACAAGGGAACCGTGTCGAGTCGAAGTGGCCTTCCCAGATGAGACCCATACTGCTTTAAAGAGCATTAATCGGTGATTCCGAATCTGCTTTCCAAATCTGCCAAGCGCCTCTGGACGCGGAGTTATGCTCGTTTATCAGGTCAAAAAATTGAACGTAAAACTGAAGCTAAATCGCCCAAATTTGCTCAAATGGTTCAGTGTCAAGTATCAGACCTGAATATGCAATGGATGCATTTTATTTAATATGCTAATACTTAACATTGCTTTATCTGAGCGCTGGAAAGATTGTAACAATCAATTTTACCTAAATTCTGCATTCATTTTTCGTTCCGAAGAACGGTCATAACTCTGCGTCCAGAGGCGCTTGGCAGATTTGGAAGGCAGATTTGGAATCACCGCATAATACTCTTTAAAGCAGTATGAATCTCATCTGGAAAGGCCACTTCGATTCGGCACGGTTCCCTTGTTAGATACACAGTGTTCAGCAAATCGCCGATCCCTCTTCATTACTGTAGGACAGTGGCGTACCCAGGATTTCGGCTCGGGGGGGGGGGGGCTCGACAAAAAATTTTTTTAAAGAAGGTGCGTGGCGTTAGCCACGCACTCAGAAAAAATTTTTGGGGTGCTTCTCAAAACTTTTACGGGTCCCCGACCCCTAAAATCTGTAAAAAGGGGGCGTGGCGTCAGCCACGCCCCCGAAAAAAATTTTTTTACAAAGCTAATTAGAATTTTTAAAAATTTTTAAAAATTATTTTAATTATTTACAAAAATAAACAAGTCACTTGCACATTTTTATAACCCATATAAGTAACTTTCAAAAATTTCGCGACCCCTTCTCGGGGGGGGGCGCCCCCCCCCCCCCTCCGCCCCCCCCCCCTCGGTACGCCACTGCTGTAGGATTACTGTAGAAAATTCGACAAGGATTTTAGGTTATTGGAAGCCGTATTCTGCCTCAGGACAAAACCAAACAAGCCAGAATCTCTTATACTATGGTAATGGAAGCCGTTTATTTCGAATATGAAATTTCCACCTTACTGCGATGCTTCTTTCCAAAGTTATTCCAGGTAAATCGTACTAAAAGAATTCCCAGTATATGTCAGAAATGCGATTACACCGTCAAAAGCTGAGAGCACAGCAAAAAGTTGTTAGTGGAATCAGCGTGCGCGAAAACTATAGTACACGATTTTTCAGATTTTTTGAAAAAAAATTTTTCAGATGGGATATTTCACAAAGGTTCCACATGGTGGAAGTTCTTATCGTAATCCTACAGTAGCAAACAGCGATCGGTGATTCGTTCGATACTGCAATTTTAAGTTGAAGCCTTCCCTACAGAATGGTACTTGACTGGCAGAAAAAGACCGATTGGGAAGAGAGATATTGACTATTGAAAAGTGTGTACTTACTTTTGGGACACCCTGTATAATAAAGTCAATAATGTAAGCGGTACAATAATTGTAAAAATTCCTCCATTGAAATATCATTCGGGCACAATATATACGGTCTTGTAACGGAAGCCGCATATACTAAGTGCCCAGGATTTTTCTTGAGTCAGTTCAAGGCAATCTTATTATCCTACTATATGAAACTACTAACTTGTATGATCAATTCAAAATTCAGATTGTTTTCTGACTTCTATTGCTCACCTCTCTGAACGGGATTACGTTGGTATCGTCAACACAGTAAACCAGTTCACCATTCAACGACTTTGGATCAGCTGTTAATCTGCTGAGACAGCGATCCACAATAGCAGCTATGTTTCCAGCGTAAATCTAAAAATATGTTGAAAGTGCAAAAACACCAAAAATAAATCATTCAAGAAGATTACTTACAAATTGATGCATACCACGGCGTTCTCCTTCTACATAAGGTATATTTCCTTGTTCGGTCATTTCCTTGAGCTTGAACCATGAGCTGGATCCTTGTTCACCATGAATATGGACTGGCCGGAGGAATACTGCATTGAAGGAATCATCTGAAGGAAAAGGGTTCTTTCCGTGCTGAGAATGAATCCAGAGCTGCCGTTCCAGCTCCGTTCCAGCGCCGTGCTAGCGCCGTGCCCACTTTGTGCCTGTAGAGTCTAATCGATACATGCGCTGTGCGCCCACTTGGGTTCCGGAATGGCGGTGGCACGGTCTGGCACGGTCTGGCACGACCCTGGTACATGGGAGACCTTGATCACAGTTTAACATTTCAGAGTGACTCCAAATAACAAAGTACCTTTTTTACAAGCTGTCCTTGCATACATTTCGCCTCTAGTTCGTGATTCGCCATAGTCGCCAAGAAGATAGTTGCGCGGATAATCGCTTGAAAAAGCCAGATTAAATAATACTGCACTATAGAGAGCAAAGTCCTGTAGTTCTGCAACATACAGAAAAACTAGTTCTCCCAGTCCATAGTTGTCCTCGATGGGTAGTGCGGAGTACGCGTCACCGACATGTACTAAAGTGGCAATTCCGAGACGTTGCATAGTGTCGACAAGGATTTCGGTAGCTATAAATAGGTAAATATCTCACGGCATAAACCTTTAAGGAATATTATAAGGAATACGATAGCAAATTAGGAGTCAGTCATGATTTCTGAGTAGATAAAGTGTACATTAGTCATCTTCACGGAAAGGCTGAATTTTGCAGCACAACACAGCTTCCCGTTATTGAAGGTTTAGCAGATATACTATCGTCGAGTCATTCGTAACTTAATATGCCTGTTGCACACCATATGTGCTAACTGACGAACTACTAAATGAGAACCTGCTCATTTGCAGTGATTTCTCCCGATTTCCTTGTACCTTTTGTTTTTGTGAGATATATGCTAGTCAGTAGAACATATCTTTACAGTTTCATAGGTAGAAAATGTTTCAATGAAAAGTTAGTAGTAGGGGTGCCGTGGCTAATCGAGTATGGGGTGCGTTCTCACACATTAAGTTACAAATGACTCAAGAATATGTTGAAATTTGACACCTTCCTCTCTTCCAATACCACGTACTCAAATTTTGCCATTATGTACAAGTTATGACGTAGACTACAGAAGCAGCAGCTGTTCTGCCAGCGCTGCGAGGGCTACGGTAGGTTTATAGTATGGGAAAATTCTGAACTTCTGGCCGGAAAGTTATAACATAATCATGTCAAAGTACACCAATAAATCTTTGGTGAAAACTGGGGGGGGGGGAGGGGGAAGGGAGATTTCGAAGTGGTTTAGACGAATTCGAAAATTGTGCAAAAAATCTATTCATTCGTGACAGTTAAAAACAATCTTGAGAAACAAAATAGTTGTAAGAAAAGAATTTTCCCTCCCTTTCCCGGATGTTTCGAGTTACACTCTTGAGAAAATAGTGAAAAGGGTGGCACTGGCGGTGTCGACAACACCGGCAGGGTATGGCCAAGGCCTTATAACCCATATCAAGCCACCATGTTAGTGCAGGCCGCCTGAACAACAATCTTCCTTTTCCCAACCTTTGATGCTTGCTGACTTGCTCTGGTTGAGTTATTAACGCGGAATTTTGTTGATTTTCTCTCGGAGCATTGGTCTCTCCTCGGAATTCTTTTGGGCAAGGTTTTTCTGCTACTCTACTGACCAAGCCCGCTTTGCTTACTTTGGTATTTCGAGAGCACTTTGCTAGCGTACGAGTATGAAGGATCACCACCTCCACAACTTGCAATAACCTATTGATCTTCTCGATTGCAATGTTCCATTACAACACTTCTTATTAATCAAGTATTCTCGAGTAACTGACTCTTCCTATTAGCCTCATGCGGTGGGAGTATATCCACCATGCAATCCTGAGTTAGATAGTCTATCTCAGGGACGTTTTGCTGGCAGTAATGGGGGCATGGGTACCATCTCCATGATCACATCTTTATGACAATTGTAGTCCAGAGCAGTCACATGCAAGCTCTATCAAACATACTTCTTAACCAATTTGAAGGTATGGACCCAACGGCACGGTGGACCTTGACTGGGGTTGTTCGATTTACTGTGTGTGTATTTTTTTCTCTTGTTCTTTTTGTAAGGAACGCCATAGAGCGTATAAATAAATAAATAAATAAATAAATAAATAAAAGCCTTCTAGGTCCTTGTTACCCCTCCCCCGCCAGCTTCCCCCCCCCCCCTCGCATCACCTTAAAAAACTTCTATACGTCACTGCTTTTTGAGAAGTGAATATGCGAACACGGCACGAGGGCTTGGAAGCACTTCAGATATATTTATTATTTATTATTTTATTTTATATTTATTATACATATATGTGGAGATATTGTGCATGAAGTTCTCTCGCTTCGAGGCTCTTTCTGAGGCGTTTTTCTTTTTTTCAAAGTCTGAGAGTCTTTCACCAAAGAAAAACTAGTCTCTTATTGGGAAACGATGAAAATTTGTGTTTCGCTTTGGAAAACTTCTAGGGCAACCAGAAGTATGATAGTCCATTAGGCTCATTTTTTTTCATGAAATCTGCGATTGAACGGATGCATTAGCGTGTGCATTTTATCAAGAACAAGAATGACATCAGTACCAAGACTGTCCCTACATTCTTTTGAGAAAAAACCACCCACCCGTAAGGTTATCGCTCCACATCATCTCAATTTCCTTTTTGTCTTGATACTTCCATGGCATTTGGGCATGAGCACAATGTACAACGGCTGTACATCCTTGTAGGGCACGTTCGAGAGCGCCTTCGTCGCTGATGTCGAAAACGAAATGTCGCAGCTGAACGCCGTCAATACCTGCAGAAATTCAAGAATTAACTTTGAAGAGAGAAATGAAGATGGCAGATGAGAGAATGGAGAAATGTGCGTACTATTGCGAGCTGCTGGTACTTTGTCAATGAGTCGAATCTCCTTATAACGTCCGGATTTCGCTAGTCGTTCGACCACAAAACGTCCAGCCAAGCCGCTAGAGCCTGTCACGGCTACCACGTCCATGTTTGGGCTAGAAGTTGTAGACACTAGTTAAAGTCTAGTTCACTTTTTAAGATGACGAAATCTAACAGTATATGTTGCTGCGATTATACGTTTATTCAAAGGGCCTATTAGTGTGTAGGAGACAATAAAGGATTGTGACTCCTCATACAAAAGTCGGTACCTCCACAGAACTTAGGGAAAAGTTTGACTTTTCGCGACTTCCGCATATACTCGGCAAAAATTTCGAGAGATTGTCTCTGCAAATCAGAACTGCTATTTTTCTGTTTTATGTGAGAGTGGGATGAATGGTAGTGTACGGGACATAACCATGATGTTGCGACCCTTATTTATAGTCATTTGACAGTCCGGATCTTTTGCAAAATTTTGCAGAAATGCCACAAAGCATATTTTTCCGAAACTTCATGCAATCCTCTCAAAAGTCGGCAATGCGAGGTAAGCGATGAACGGAAGGTTTCATGGAATGTAGAAGTAATAAGAGATAGTCAGGGATTTTTGCCAGTTTTTAATCACTAAGCTCAAGATAAATGAGCTCGTAGTGAGGGACCTCCGCAAAACTTAGGCAGAAGTTTCGCAAGACCGTGCTTCATCGCAAATCGATTTGCTCTTCATCTTTGAGGAAGTTTCATCTGAGAAAAATTAGCAAACCAAATCTATTCCCTGAGCAGATCTGATAAAATTCTGATTATAAGCCAAAAAATAGAGTATGCAAGAGTATGCGATGTTTTTCAAGTAACAAGAGCATGACCCTGATGGAAAAAGCAAAGTACAAGATTTACGAATAGAAAAGATTAAAAAGTGGATAATCCGATGTACTCAGCGGAAGAGGCGACCACGGTAGTGAAGAGGTTGCAGATGCACACAGTGACGATGTGCTGTTAATGCAGAGGTGAACCGGCTCTCTCGGGGGCCCTACGCGCACAATGTACCCGATAATGGCGTACTTTGTCTCCTTCTTAGCCCTGAGTACGTGATCAGTTTTTGATTTCTCCTCCCAGGGCCCGGCACGAGATGGGCAAACGGGGCTTTCCAAAACGAATTCTCCTTTGATCCCAATAAATTTTACGGATACCCCCTTGAGCTCAAAAATGACGTTTTGTGCTTGTGCGACGAGATTACCGGCCACACTTCGCCTAAAAGCGCTCAAAAGCGCCCAAATTGCTCAAATTCCTCAAATTACTCCTCAGCTGTATCAAGATAGGAAACAGGAAGAAAAATAAGCAGGAAAAATGATTGAGGAATGAGAAAATATCAAAGAAACGCAGTCATAGGAATGAGAGACGCCGTTCCCGCGCGTATCGATTGACTGGGGCGCGCTTTCCATCTTAGAAAGCTAGGCTGCTGATGCGATTTTGGGCTCTAACAAGGACAAGAGGAGGAGTTTCGGAACCAAAATTTCACCATGTAGTAAACTTTAGGTGTACAACAGATTTATGTAAAAATTTTGAAAAAATTATGTGAATTGAGAGTTTTGCCGACCTCAGGTGGGAATTAGGTCGGCAAATGCCGACCTAATTTGGAAATTAGTTAAGGAAACTTTTCATTCACATAAGTTTTTCATAATATTCCATACTTAATTACTTAGTCCTACTGCGCATACACACACCAAATTCCGCGCGATTTCGTTACCTCTGCATTGCAAACGAGCCATTTTTCCATTTCTTTGGTAGCGCAAAATTTTCAGAAAAAAGTTTGCCACAACCTTCAGTCACATAATTTTTCAATGAAACTCCTCAGTTAAGCCCTGCAAGCCCGTGTGCATTTACTTACCAAGTTTCATACCATATCGTTCATCTGCGCGTTTAAACGAGCCGTTTGAATTCACATCTTCATTTACCATTTTTACGAAATTCTCGGAAAAAATGCTAATTACTCGTTCCGTTCACATAAGTTTTTCATAATTTCTCATACTATGTTTCCACTAGCCTCTCTCCGTTCGCATACAAAATTTGGTGTCATATCGTTACACATACATTGAGAACTAGTCATGTATGCTGTTACAAATAGCATCGCTTGGGCGACGTCGCGCGTGCGGCAATTAGCGACGGCGCGGTTTGACGCGCGCGAACTCCAGTGTTCGCCTGTTGAGGCACATAACATGTCAAGATAAGTAGCGAGCATGAACTACCAATTTTTTTTTCCGCGCCTCCGCCCCGGACCCCGCAAAAACGATTTCCCCTTTGCTTTTTGGCCTCAAAACGATTTCCAGCTTGTCAATTGCCGACCTCGTGCCGGGCCCTGTCTCCTCCAAATACATGTATTCGCGCATATATGGACGACGTGTGCAGAAGGAAATGACCTTCGTTTGTTCAGAATCATCGCAAAGAAAGCAAAAGGTTCGGTTTGCACGGCAACAAAATGTTCCGAGATCACCGACGATGAGAACGCATACAGTGGCGCACATAAGGGGGGGGGAGGGTTAAAAGTCTACACAGGTGATAAAATCAACGCCAGATTTTTTGCAAACATTTGCTCTGCTTAACTGAAATATAATAAGATGCATTGCAAAAAATCTTGCGTAAAAGGTTCCCTCAGAACCGTAGCTCTCTCCCCGCCCACCTTTGTTCCAAAATTTCAGGGTTATGAGTTTCTTAAGAGCTTGGATTTTATGCCAAACATCTCGTAGGGTGTGATGCAGTCTAGGTCCCTTCACATACAAAAGAATTTGTTGCACCACCTACTCCTTCCCCCTCTTTCCCCCCTCCCCCCACAAGAAAGTTATGGGACTATCACCGCTATTAAAAGATTCTCGATTTTGTTGCCTGATTTTGAATGGATCTTGCTTAGCTTAAATGAGCTTAATTTCAGTAAAATGTAAAAAAATGTAGGCAAATTGCAGATGAACTGATTGATTTAACCATCCAAATTCTAATCATAAAAATTATTAGGACTCGATTATCATAGAAATTATCATGATTGAACAAAACTGGAATTCTAAGGTTAATAAAGCATGAAAAGTGCATCTGTTTCAGGCGCATTCCGAATGTTATTAACCAAATTACATGAAAATTTATTAATTTATCCCCTACGGGATCATTTCATGTTCTTGTACCCGAAATCATGAAAGATTTTTTGTGATTGATTCCCAGAAGCAAACTTTATCAAAGAGTCCAAGCCTTCACAAAGGACAGACGGATAGTTCTATTAGCTTTGCCTTTTGACCCGCTAGAATTTCTATTTTTGAAACTTTGATTGATTTTATGGCTCATTTTCCTGAATGCATATTAATTTGCAAATGCTGAGACCTTTATGTAGGTTGAACATTTCAGTCGTGAAAACTTCTAACTCTTCCATCTAATTATGGACATGCATATATTTTTCAACGCTATCTTTACCAGAAAAATAAATGTCTGCATTTGTGAAAAACAGAACAGGACACATAATAAGACTCGAAATTTGTGGCACATACCGAGTTTCTGATGCACGAAAATGTGTTTTGTGTACCTGGCATAAAACATCTTCTACTGCAATCTTTTCTACGATTTCACAGCGCTGACATTGCTTTTTCTAGTCCAAAGAGCTCGTTAAGATAGAATCTCTTTGGTGGGCGCAATGTTTTTGCGTTTCAAGTTTTACCGACAATTTTAGGGTACATTATAGTCTCGTGTGTTGTCTCTAGGAACAAAGTGTGCTAGCCCATCGAAGGTAACGTGGTCTAAGAATGAATTCTCGTATAGAATTTTCTACTACGAGGTTTTTAAGACGTTGAGAAGAAACATAAAATGGAAATAAATTTGATTATCCACAAAATACTCTTAATGAATGGTAGATGGGACAAGTTGTTAGAGCAATTTTACCCCACTTGATTAATTTGTAAGTGATTACCAACCAGTAAAAGAAAAAAGTAGATCATTCCGAACCTGGGAACGTAGAAAACCATGAAGTTAGTGGAAGTTGGTTTAACAAAACGGATAGAAGGAACGTCACAGATGAAATAGGCATAGAAAAGGTTTTAAATTTTGATCTCTGTTCTTCAGAAGACTCGAAAGATTTTTATGGGTGAGAAGTGCGTGGACAAGGAAATGTGGTTAGAATCAGTATAATAACACACCATTGTTTTCCTCTTTTTGAACGCGCTTTGTTAAGATCTAATAATTACCAGGAAACATATAGAATATAGAACTACATGTATTAGTTTTTGTTCATCTAACGTATTTTTGGTTGCTTGCTTATATTGTGTAAAAAATTTGAAAAATGAACTAAATGCAGACCCATTTGGTTTATTGAATCTGAATCAGAAGCCGATAGGATTTTTGAACATGGGGCACAATTTCTTGTACATTATCAAGAGGATATATTCTCTGCTACGGCCGCTCACTAACTTCAGACAAAATCTTTGCACCGATGCCGCTGTATAAGGAAGTTCCATAAAAAATCGTAATTTTCCCTTTTCAGCGCATCAGATATGTTACGGGTGCTAGCGCTTGCACTCGATTCGTGAAGGTCTATTTTATGTGCTAAAATTCCATTTTGAAAGGTTCATGTTCAGATTTTGTTCAAGGTTTTGTTCTTGATGTTAAACTAGACTAGACTGCGTAGGTCATTCAAAGATGTAAAACTAATAAAAGCTGACAACAGAAAAAAGGCGCCGTTCAATGTCAATAAAAAAATCTCTGCAAAAACACTTTCCGAAACATCAATAAACATAAATCAGCAGAAATTTGCAAAATCATAAAATCAACAGTTTTCAGCGTGGATTTAGAAACTTAAAATCTTATTCCTTTTTAGGAGGGGGGGGGGGGATATTTTCAAGTGCCAGTTTTACAGAAAGAAATATTGGATTTAGCACTCAATCTACCATGAGACTTCTCTACCGCAAAAATCTACAAATGCCTAGTCATGCAAGAAATTCATAGAATAATAAATAATTTTCCTTTCCCTCTTATTATTAGGTTGTTACATAAGTCTTGTTACACTTAACTTCTAACGGTGATAAGTCATGCACCTCATTTTCTTTACAGGGCTTCAGGGTACCGTTCGATAGAGCAAAGCAAGCTCTACAAGAAATTATGCAAAAGTTCGCACCAACTTCGACCCACCGTAATTTTGCATCCAGAATCTAAGTCGTAGTGAAGGCGCAAATATTGCGAAAAATTCATATCTTCGTTCAACAAAATCCTCCGCATTTCCAACTTGCTCGTAAAAATTGCCCACTATATCAGACACTCATATGTACCGTTGCTGTATTTTTTCCTCATCTAGAAATCGAGAAAAGGAAAACTTTTTAGTTTTTACAAAAATGAGGCTATGCTGTTTCTACTCATGTAGCTGTGTACTACAAGCCCTTAGAAGTATAACCGTAAATTTTCAGTTTTCCAGAAGCCCTAGTTTTCCAAAAATTACCAAATTTAGTTTCTTTCACTCGGGTGTTCAATGCTAAATTAGGTAATTTTCGAAAACAAGGGCTTCTGGAAAGCTGAACATTTACGGTTATACTTTCAAGGGCTTGTAGTACACAGCTACATGAGTAGAAACAGCATAGCCTCATTTTTGTAAAAACTAAAAAGTTTTCCTTTTCTCGATTTCTAGATGAGGAAAAAATACAGCAACGGTACATATGAGTGTCTGATATAGTGGGCAATTTTTACGAGCAAGTTGGAAATGCGGAGGATTTTGTTGAACGAAGATATGAATTTTTCGCAATATTTGCGCCTTCACTACGACTTAGATTCTGGATGCAAAATTACGGTGGGTCGAAGTTGGTGCGAACTTTTGCATAATTTCTTGTAGAGCTTGCTTTGCTCTATCGAACGGTACCCTGAAGCCCTGTAAAGAAAATGAGGTGCATGACTTATCACCGTTAGAAGTTAAGTGTAACAAGACTTATGTAACAACCTAATACTTTCAACTGCCAAGGTAAGGAAAAGAATGGAAGAGCACACAAGATCTCAAAGAATCTAAATGCAAGAGCTCCTTGCAAAACGGACTTTTGAATAAGAACTCGAAAGTCTACACTCTCTTTGGTGAGGGAATGAGCGCAGTGGGTTAGTTAATGGACGGCGAAAGATTGAAACTGAAAGCCGGGATGTGGATTCATCCAGAAAGAGTCAGAAGATTTGAATCTACGATTTTTCGATGAGATCGGGTCATCGGGCAAGCGCCCGACGCCACTGGTCAAGCGGCGAACTTGATGTCGTGCAATCAAAGCACTTTCGCTATCCATTCCCCCTACTGGACACAGTGATGTTTTACTAACTGGTTCTGGCCTCTCACTTATCGGCTCTCGAACATCGACATGCACAACGTCTTTACACTTGAACGTGTTCGGGGGAGAAAATAAACGAGCATTTTATGGAAGATTCTGACCAAAACACAACGTTGGCAGTTTCTCACATAATTCGCATAAATTCAATTCACCAAGTCGTAACCTTCGTTCAGAGTTTGTTTGAAGGTTTGCGCTTTGCGATAGTGTTTTGTGGGCTATCTTTCATATACTAGCTGTGGAGAACAAGGCTTGCAAACTGGCATTTCGTGATTCGATATAGTTCGGTGATACAATGGTAATTCTGAGTTGGTTTCAGAGAATGTTAGTGCCATATATGATCAGTAATGTTGGTCTCACTTACTGTACAACATCCCCGCGCGACCATTCCGTCTAAACTTTTCTAGAATTCTCCAACCATTTGCTCAAACTTACAAGGGGATTGTCAAAAATTGAAGAGACAATCCAAACCTGCATAACATTCGATGCACCATAAAACGCTGATTCCAAATCTGTCTTCCGTATCTGCTACAGCCTTCGTAGGCGAAGTTACGTGCCGTATTATTGCGAAAAAGTCGTATATAAAAGTTGCGAAATTGACCACATTATCACCCTTGTAGGTCAACTTTAGGGTATGAGCAGCTATACAAACTAACCCCGAGGCGAAAATTTTTCACTCAGCATCAAGCACCGAACAACTTAGGTCCGTATAGCCAGATTTGCATTTTGCAAGCATGATTTTACAGCAAAACACTGGCCTTTAATGACTTATAGTTTCGTCCACAAAAGAGTTTAGCACACAGGTGAGACAGATCTAGAGTCATCGTTTATGCTGCATCTAATGGTAGCAGCTTCTTTGAATTCGCCACTTCGACTTCTGGCCATTCCCATGTTAAGCAAAGCTCATGAATCGAAAAGTCAAGCCCTTAGAAGACATACGACCACTGGTAGGTCCCAGTCAACATCAGTACTGATGAGCATTTACACAAAATGAACCTAGAACAGAACAAACTCCATTTGGAGAATTTCTCTAATGTTATGGAGTTTGACAATCGACTATTTTCGTTATTGTGCAGTTTCCTTGTAGTGTACTTTGACTAAACCTTGACCGTCAAGACAGATGCATTTTGGCGAATTCCATCATCGTTATTTCTAGTCATAGAATTACAACAAATACATTTTCAAAGTTGTGCATGGCCAGTGATACGCACAAGTCAAACATATGTTTTTCTTATTTACAAAATCAACACCTTTGAATCCTCTCCTTAACGAGGCGCTTATAAGGTCATCACATATAATAGGTCCGTTAACATCTCACTTACACAAGCTCAATTGCCTTAAAGTGTTTTCCATCTGCTAAACAACACGAAAACATCACGATTATTTATTACATAAATATAAGATCTGATGTACATATACACCAATTCAGTACCCGCATTCATAGCGAGAACCGCAAAGCACTGATTGTTGGAAAGAAAATTATCATAGCATAAAAATTCTCTGCGTATGGCATTTCCCTTGAATCCTTTACTAAAACCTACCATACTTGGCTATCATTGCTGTTTTGCTCATGCTGATACTTGATGTCGTCCCTCCTGAAAGAACATCTCGTTGTCCTCCGCTGAAACAGTCTTCGGACTCGAAGAGAATTCAACGCGAAAACCAATCGCATAAAATTCAAAATCTGCTGGAACATCTTCTTATAGAGATAATTACATTGGTATCTTGGACTTCTTCGGTTGTTTTCGGCCGCTTGTCGAGGGGTAGTCCGTCCAAGAGCCGGCGAGCAAATAACCCAAATCGCTCATCTGGTAACCGTCTTGCTCTCAATGTGTCCACTTGCCCTGCCAATCTCATTAATTTCGCAGGCATGGAACAAAGAGTGCGGAAATACTGAGTCGAAGCGTCTTACAGTATTTAGCGAAAAAAAGCACATTTTGTTAACCTATGGTATGTTAAACATTTAGGAGCACTGTCTTCGCAACTAGGGGCTGCAGGGATTCGTAGCAGTGCGGTAGCACGCCTCAAGGCTGAACAATCAGTGAAGTCCAGAGCAAGAAAACCGCCTGCAAAGCCTCATTGCCATGGATGTGCTGTGGACCCTGCCTTCTCATTCGTAACCCCACCCATCTGCGATTTCAAGCTGCAGCTTGACAGCCATAAGTTATGACCAGAGTCACAGCGACACAGTGTCATGAACACTGGCAGGCCCTGCTCCAGTCCTTCAAGATCGAGGACTTCGCAAAACCAGTTCCAAGATTTTTGCGCTCCCTAAGGTACATTTTTGCAACAACTATTTTTCTACGCCTGATCAACTATTGAAGCTCGGCTCTGAGCCCTTACCAAGTTCAGACGTGGAGAAATGACCAGACGACTGTTCATGAAGCGGCGCTGGGTTGGGCAAGGCGGCCGCGAAGGACCAAGCCGCTTGTCGGGCTCACTCCAAACGATACAAAGGTATACACGGATATTCGCCCTAGCGAGCATTTGGGACCGTCGCTCTGGAGTTCTGGAGTCATTTCGGGCGCCATCTTACAATTCGCACCTACTTCACGTGATCCCGACCGACCAGTATTTGTTAAACTAAGGTTACTGCCGGACGAAGGCGCAACTCCTAGGGGCGTGAACGCGGTCTCATTAGCTGCAAGGCGCATGAAGCGTAGAGTATAAAATGGTGAAGATACAACAAGTGCCGCGCGTTCGCCCACTCACTGATACTGCTTTTGCGCTTTCGTTCGGAAGTAGTCTTTACCCTTAGAAACACCGTTACCTCCTTCCGAATTTTCCTCTTCCCTAAACTTGTTCGTCACACTGATTCTGACAATGCAGATATCGTGACGAAAACGGGTTTTCCGGAAGCGTTTACGAACCTGATCAAGCAAACGTGGAACCTTCAGGACCTGGAGAGGCAGAGCCACTACAGACCATAAACGGCCACAACGAGGCAGCCAAGTCAGTTTCTGGGACGGTTTTTCCGCAGCCTCTACGCCAGCACTTGAGGACCACTTAGTCAAAGTGTGCACTAATTTCATCAATTTAGATGTCCATTACGACTAGTGCATAGATTTCAATCGTCGATCTATGATCAATGACAGTGAGCGCACAAATGCACATAAAGTTCAAACAACTTCAAAACCCTTTACCAAACTCCGCTTCGACTCGGTAATCCCACACCGTAAAAGGCGTTGCGATCGCCATCAACACAAAATGTAAACAAACAAAACAAAAAGGCGAACTCGTTAAATCAGCATCTGCCATGGAGTCAACCAATCCAGGGGCGTACTTGATCATCATGCCAAGAACATCATCCACTGATAATTCCTCGTCTATCGAATGTTTTCTGAAAACTGGCCAAGAATGGCTCTTCTTACTTATAAATTACGATTAAGCTTAGCCACAAGCTAGAGGGTGTGGATGAATTTTGAAAATGGTAAAATGCTTAGAAAGGAAGACACAATTATTCCTTCCTAACCATACAACACAGGAAACGTACGACTGGCAAAAGACATCTGAACATTTTTCCCCCGAGACTTCTAGGGGACAATCCATGGGCATGACAGACATATCGGGGGGTATACCAACAAATCGTTTCAGACGTTCGGGAAAACTATCCAACCTAAAGTGCATCAGTCATTCCACATAAAGTATTCATGCAATAACACTGAGAGAAATTTTTCGAAAAGTAGTCACTCTCAAAAAGATATTTACCTGTATAAAGGTACTGTTTCCTCTACTCCTTCACTTTCTATCGTTTGCGTTGACTGATTGCAGGACTCCTCTTCATTTACAGATGGTATCCGACCTTCTTCGTCTGCACCAACAAATCTTTCTCCTTTTGAACTCCACTAGCCTGAGAACAAACCTCCGTCCTGCGACGTACTCGCAGGGAAGTCCTTTCTCATCCTAGCAAGAAGCTTCAGCCGCATTTGTTCTTCAATATGAGGCTCTGGTTGCTCTCGCGCCACAATCTCTTCGCTGGGTCTTTCCACGCTTTCGCTGTATGATCTATTCAATGGCTCCTCGATGTGCAAAGAAGAGTGGGCGTCTTCTATCGGTGATGTTTCATCGCTGTTTTGAGTTTCTGTTCCATTTGAAGGTTGCCTAGAGGACTTAAAATGTTCCTTGGACTCCTACTGATTATCTAGGAGTTAGTGAGTAGCGAAGCAACTTATGGTTGCGTTGCGAGAATTCTATGAGAACAATGGTCCTCAGAAGCCCTAATTCTCACAAGATGACAAGTGATGTCGGCTAAATCGCAAAGTTTTCAAGAACATTAATAAGCTTTGAACCGCTCCAATCACGCGAGCAGAAATTCATGTGTAAAGACAGTCGTTTGCATAATCGACTTTTCACTCCCAAAAAATAATTTAATCCAAGTATAAGTTACCACTCATTCTCTAGCAGAAGATCCAATTTGAGTTCTTCGCATCGCTCAACAGCACGTCTTATTGTATTCCGTCGCTGCATCAGAAGCCGACAGCCTACTCTTTCAGCATCTATATCTGCATCTAGTTCAGCTAGTTGCTTCTAAATCAAGGACTTTGCAACAGCTCCAGAAATCATATGGAAAACGTATACAATCAATCAAATCGCATACAAACGCACCCTAAGCTCTGTTCTTCTATGTAACGACGTGTCGAGCGTTGTCATATGCTCCATGATTTTACTATCCAAAATATCTAACTCCGACTGATGTTCTCTGAAATCGTAATACACAGATAAAAACACAAATAGGTCTGTAACACCGCTCAAAATCTAATCGAAGGTAATTTTCTTATTCAATAAAGAGCAAAGAAAACTTACTTGAGTTGTGCCTCTAGTGCTGTCAAGGTACTGACAGGAGGACTTTTCAGAGAGTAAAATTCTTCCGATGCAACGACATTGTCCTGAACACGGATATCATTTCAACTGCAACCATTTCAAGCAATATCACCTTTCTCCTCTTGCATGGCGGTTCATATAAACGGAAACTGTTCTTTGTAGGGTTGCTCAAACCATTTCTGTAAATAATGAGAGCTGCGCAATGACAAACAAGCGGACTGATCACGGATCAAACGCAAACAAAGTCGGAAGGAGACCATGCAAGGTGAAACAATAAAAAAGAACAACAACTAACATCCTGATATCTGGCGCAGGTGTATTGGATATATCTGTCGGTTCTCCTTTTGCAGGAGCTTCTCTATGAGGCATCTATAACAACGTTTGATCGATGTAATCCTTAGCGCATGCAAGATGAAGAGATATCGTCGATTCTCCGGAGAGGATTGGACAAAGCATTGCGGAGTTAAACCATGCCGATGTTGGATGGAGTAGATCATCGATCTATCGAGTCCACAATGCCCTACCCGATCCACTTTTGAGAAACAACGATAGGTGCATAATAAGCTAAAGTTTAGAGACATATCAAACATACCTCCTCATTTGAACACCTTGACTGATTTTGAGTGTTATCATCACCGGGACCATCAAACAACGATACGTCACTACTTTGAGTAGTACTTTCAGCTAAGCGTTTTCTATGAAGAATCACCTAAAATTGCCGCGTTTTGTATAAAAACTCAAATAAATTTTGCGTTTTGGGTGATAGCACTTGAGGCAAGAGGTACATAGATTGTGCCACTTGAAGTGACAGGCTAGACAAAAATGGACATGCGAAAAAAGTCACGTTCAAAAACATACTGCACTCTATAGCAGACTTTTCTCGTATGAAAGGACAGTGCCATAAAGAAATGGAGACTAAACAAAGAAAACTCTCACCTGATTTAGCAACATTTGACGCAACTGTTCTTCATCTGCATCAGAAATCAAACGATGGCGAGGTGGAGAGTTTGCTAAAACTAGCAAAATTAGAATGACAATAACATCCACTTTGCAAGAAAGTCTAAAACCACCAGCCTACCTTCGTCTTCATGATCAAGATTTGATACAAGGCTGGATCTCGATGATTCCACATCCATTCCAACGTCTTCGTAATTATCCGGATAACGATCCAGAGGCGGAGGTGGTGGAGGTTGTTCAGGCGAACGTATTTTCTCCGGATGCCTCCCAGTATCCTTTGTTCGGGAGCTTGAAGACATCTGAGCAACACGTCCACCACCTTCCCTAACTTGAACGGTAATGGAAGAAGGACTGCATGTCCCACTCTTCTCCATAGCTTGCTGAACACAAAAAATGACCTGAAGCTTCAACTGATAGCAAAAGAGACAACCTCTCTGAGAGAAAGCACGATAAAAATGGTTAGTAATGATATCAGCGGACTGCCATGAGCTTTTCGCTAACATATTTTGTTCTATACGCTCAAATGAATCAAAGCAACCCGACATTGGAAAAAGGGTTTACAAGAAAGTCCCATTTCTAAGAGCTAACTCTTCTTTGATAATTTGCTTTTTTCAAAAAAGGGCATAAGCTTCAGAAAAGCTGTTCTATAAAAACGCTCAAAAATCCGCACAAAGGCGTCGTGGCAAAAGTTCCAAATAGCTTGAAACTTCATAACCAAATCTAAAAAATGACCCACCGGAAATACTGGTGGAGCAGGAGGAGGTGGCAACAACACAAAGTCATGCCGAATCGGGGGTGACTGAAACATATTTTTGCAGATTCCAATCAAATAGCTTTGAATCATAACACACTCACCACGGTCATTGTACGAGGAGGAAGCGGAGGCGGTGGCAACGGGATATCCGTGTCGTCATCTGGTCCCTCGCCAAGGACAGTGCGATGAGAAACTCTGGGCGGTGGACGTGGAATACTATAAAAGCAAAAAGCTTTTACACGAAAACTAGGAAGACACATGCCATCAAAAGGATGATCGATAATGCTGTACGCTAGAACACGCTGGACTGGTTTATTTCTTCGAGCTTTGCGGGCAATCTAGGCAATGTGACACTAACCTCGAACCACTTTGCGAAGAATAGCCACTATCATGCAAGTGCGATCGGTCATTGGCAGGTCGAGCGGCATCTGCAATAAGGAATTTTACATGCTCATCCCTCACAAGCGCTACAAAAGCTTACCAGAAAAAGTATTCACAGTAATTGAGAGATTAGGACCCGAATCCCCAACTCTCTTGATACAGCGATTCTCTCCACCCGTATGAGACTTCGATGTGTCCACAACTCGTTCCGAAGATAGCCTCGGTTGGTCCCTAGCTGTAGTAACCACTATCCCACTATTTTTAGAACCTATGAATTACAAATATTGAAGGATACAAAAACTCGCTGTCCAACTCACTGCTTTGTTCAACAGGTAGCGTGATAGACAATTCAGTGACTCCTGCCTTGACAGTCTCGCTTTTTCCCTTGGTGATGTCATGCTCTGACTTTCTCGAACGACGCGAACGAGTTGAGTATGATGCTCTTGTTTTTCGGTCCGGCTCTCTGGGTTTTGAACCTAAATCAAGGAAATGAAGATATGCTGACAATCTTTGGAAAGAAACATACCTTTTCCCAAACTTATGTAAGCACGAGGAGTTGAACGATGCTTGCTGCTTTCATTCGTTCTATACGTTCTTCGTTCAGATGATCGACGTTTTTCTCTGCTTTTAGAGTCAGCGCTTCTATGACTTCGCTTTCTTGATGCTGAAAAATTTTCACTCGATAATTGTGATGCAGCAAACAGTTTTTGCTTACATGTATCATGATGTGTTTTGTTGGATGTCGTAACCTTTGGAGGTTCTTCAGGACAAATCCCTCCAGACAGCGCATCTGTGAAAGGAGACACCACGTTCAACACAAGATTTCTTTCAGTGTGAAATTTCAAAAATGAAGTTTTAAGGAACGGTATCGCGCTATGGACATTCAATAATCGGAAAGAGCGTAATATCCTCACGTGCAAAAGAAAATAATAGACAAACAACTCACCCTCATCAGTGACTTCCCCTTCTTCTTTCTCAACTGATTTGAGCTTGTTTTGAAGGGATTCGATGAGATTCAGCCGCATGCTCAAAGTTTCTGGATCTTCATCTTCAAACTAAAACTAGAGCCATATAGATAAGAACAAAATCAGACAGCATTATGATCAAACCTTTGCTCTGTATATGTAAAGTGCCATTTTCAGACTGACTCAAAGATGAAAGATTGCATAGATTGGCGCAATTTTGTCTACAAAGTTTCGCTCGGATATAAGCAATAGTTTTCGATTGCCATCCACAGGTATTTATAGTTCCTGCATGGTTCAAAACGACTGTAGTGTGTCTTGAGGGCATGATGCCGCCGCAATGATGACCTCAATCGCCCTTGACCGACCCATGCGGACTGTCCATAGGCATTTTACACTTTTTTCTCATATGAGAGTTTGGAACGCTTTTTGCCACAAGATAAGTTGCACCACGCATAAAACGTAGAAGCTCTTTTTCTGAACTTAATTGCAACATACGGACTCTCAAATACTTCGATTACTTCGAAACCAGGAAGTCTCATTTCGAGAGCAGATCAAAATTTGGTAACCCTCCATAAACAAATTCAAAGAATGTGATGTTTTTCAGAAAAACACGAAAGGTCATTCTTACTACCATTGAGCATGATTGTGACCAATCAAATGATTTCCTCCTTGCTTCAACTAATCAAATTTCTCCTTTTGAATCACTAGAAACCGAGGTACAAAATATGCCTAGCCATGCTACTTTTCCGATATCACTGTTTCAAAATGAAAAAAGGTTTTTCGTAGGCTGGTACGCACACTCCGCATGGAATAAACATGGAATTTCGTTCTAGAACTCAGAGTGCATTTGGCATTGATCAAAAAAGCAAAAACAAGCCTTCTTATCGAAACACATGCATATAGCCATTCTGTGTGGGCAGAGATCGATATTTAGGATACAACTTGGGTGACGCTGCAATATAGTGTGCACGTTCCACTGCTACGCAAAAAGCAACGAAGACAGTTGATAAACAGAAAAGGGATCGAGAGAAACTTGGCAAAATTACAATGGGCAGCAAAACATTTTTAACTGAACCGCACATAATTACCTCATGTGATCCGCTACTGCCAGCGTTGACAACTGAATCGAGGACTGACGACACCGCTTCAGAGCATCCTGGCGTTAACATCTGAAATTGAAATTCAGAAATTGTTCAAGAAAGCACGCATCTTGTGATTATAGACGATAATAGCATTGTCTCTGTCGCATTAAACAAAATACAAACGTGCATATTAGCATGCATGCATCAATTGCTGATAAGTGCTCTTATCTCTCCTGCGATGTTACAACTGAGCATAGGACCAAAGTAGCTCTTATATGTTTTTGATATTATTGAAAATTCAGAAGTGCAAGAAAAAAAAGCATTAACAGAGCAGCGGTGATTTTTCTTATTAAAAGAAACTTTAATGGACCGACGGAATCTGGGAGCTATTAGTTGACCCAAAAATCAAAGACCTGCTGAGACCCTGGCTATAAGAATTCTTAGCAAAAGACCATATCGAAACGCATTTTACTGAAGATGCAATAGGCACAAAGATAAGCTAAAACCCGGAACTTGATAACCTTGTTTGCGGGAGTTTTTTTATACATACTGATAACGAAGACGGTATCGTTAGCACAAGAAATATTTCTTGCCACTTTTTCTTCCCCCCCCCCCCCTCCCAACCAGGTTTCAGAATTGAGTCTCGCTCAGATCAGTTGGATGGGGGGTAGCATGCTTATCACAAATATCACACTCCTTTCGCTCAAGAAACGTCATGGGGTGGGGGTCGATATAACGGATTTGGCTGGAAATTTGGTCTAAAGGGGTTATCTGTCAAGCTGCTCACGGATACTTTTTCTTTTCATGATAAGGCCATTTCCTGGTACTGGGTAGGTGCAGAAAGCCGAACAAGTATAAGGTATGAAGTCAAAAATTACGGATCGAAGTTCATGAGATTATCTAAACCCCTAATTAGTATAACCTTCACATTGCAAAAAAGGTTATTGTGTTCATCTGTTACAATGATGTTATAGCCTTTTCTGATAATGTACAGATGAACACTTTCATCTTCATATTAACAGATCCTGAAATCGAAAGACCTCAGAGTATAATATCAGTGATCAGCACTTCAAATAACTCCTCTGCACAAGGTTTTGGGCAAATCTGTAATCTTGACCACATACAGTACTCGGAAAAGCCTCATTATACGAAACGAGTATGATTATTGTGATTAACAGTTAGATTACTCCACTATTGCAGAAATATGTAATTTTGACCACCCCTTGCGTATACCCACCGTATCCACACGAGTTTTATTCTGATTAACATGCCGTATAATGTCCAAAAGCCGAGATTGAGCAAGATCTCTAACTATGAAGTGGGATCTGATATTAGAATAGCGCTAAGCAGGGAATGGTCAGAACTTAACCCAGCCAATCCCAACAATCTATGTATCATCGGACTCTTTTAAAACGCTGACCACAAGTATATGCTTATTACCTGCCAAGACTATCTGGGAGAAGTTATGAGCGTGTAAATGTGCTATTTGTCAAGTGTTGTGTGGCGCATGTTGCACGAAATAGGTTTCAAGAACGCTTATCTAGGTTTTTGGTGGATGTGACTCTTCTTGTAATCAAGATAACCATAGCCACTGTAAACCTGCGCCATCAAGCTGCATTTCAAGGAGATATATTCGCCGGAGCTCGAAAAATTTCCCATATCTGAACGCTCATAACTTCCCCCAAATAGTTGCTTGGCAGATAAAAAAACATATATTTGAAATCAGCGTTTTAAAGCGAGTCCGATGATATACAGCTTGTTTGGAATGGCTGGGTTAAGTGTGACTTTCCTAGTAAGCCCCATCTTTTTGAGGTTGCTTTGAGTAAATGGTAAATCATCAATTCGACCGCGCAAGGATTTTCAGCGCAAAACCGATGTACTTTTTCAACTAGTACGCCAAAGAATCCTTGAAGAAAGAGAACAGATTCGGAATTTTGATCTACCGACCGGTACCTGGTCGTGACCCCGTCAACGGTACCGCTTGGAAAAAAGATAATGTGTTCAGCGTGGCAAACAACATTCAGGGCTAGACCGAAATCCGACCTTCTCTTCATGTAAATCATATGCGCGGAAGGAAATTGAGAACTTGAAAAAAAACCCTTACAAAGGTCTCAGCAATAATCCTGTCAATTTCCTTCTCTGTCCGATCTGAATCACTCGTATTTTCTAGTGACTTAAAGTGAGCAGCTGGCAACTCTGATTTGACATCTTCGTTACTGCTGGAAGTTCGACATTGAAACATTATTTCTTAATCAAAATAAATCTTACCTATCCAGCTGTGCCATGCAAATCTGTGATCTTCAAAGAACTTTGCTTCGTGATGTTCTAATGTATCAAAAATATATTTATTATAACATGAGTCTATTTGTATGAGTAAAAAGGTATGAAAAGCAGGCTGACGCTGTTCATAAGTTTCCAAAGGAAATACAAAGTTGCAAGCTCAGAGAGAAAGAGAGATAAAAAGACTTTGAAAGTCGAAAAATTGAATATTCGAGGAAAGAATGGAGAAAAGCTGAATTTTCAAAGGATCAAGCAGGATATAACATCGGACAGAACGCCTGCTACTGTTTCCGTTCCAAATATTTCCTTGCGCTTTTCCTGAAATGATGTAACATGAAAATGAAAAAGCAGAACGAATGCACGAGTTGTAAGTTCAAGAATTAGGAGAGGAATGCAATGTAAAAGATTAGTGAAAACCATGAAAAAATCGATGAGGAACGTGAGCGACGAAGTAGCGCCAGCGAGTTGTATAAACTGCGATTGCGTCTCGCAAATGCACGTGATGAATAGGAAGTACTCTGTAGTCGTGCAGACTGAGGCTTTTAGTCAATAATCGTTTGACATGGTATTGTATAGTCTGAAGGAAAGTGCAACGGATGTGATATAGGAATCATATCTTATTGTTAGCGAGAAGGAAAGTGCTCCTCTTGAATTTTCTGACACTGGCGGACGTATTACATTACTTTTCACTCAATATCAGTCTTTAGGCCTACTTCATGAAGTCTGATGGACACACAAGTCCGATTAATAGAAGAGGTGTCATTCCCTCTCTGACTAAGAGACGCGAACGCGCTTTGCGTATCGTCGACTCTAAAAATCGTGACGACGGTCTGCAGTGCGGCCAGTGCGCGCCGCACGGCACTGCCTCCTTATCATAAGGCAATCTTGCTTCTCAGCAGTGTAGGCTCCCTGCGGTAGCCATGAAAGTTCCTGCAAGCAAAAAAGATGCAAAAAGAAAAAGAAAAACCACAAGAACCCACCTTCTCCACGTAATTTGGGCGAATCACTAGGCGGCAGTGCCGTGCGGCGCGCACTGGCCGCACTGCAGACCGTCGTCACGATTTTTAGAGTCGACGATACATACTTCTAACAAGTTTATGAGTGCGTTTTAACCAGGGTCAAGCAAGGGGTGTGGCACACGATCGCTGGTTACGACCTCCCCCCCTGACTGCTGTCTTTCATTTCATTTTCATTCACATAAGGAACCCTATGTGAAGATTATAACACTGAACCAGTATATGCCAAAAGGCTCCACAAAACAAAACAATCGTGAACACGTGCAAAGAAAAAGAACAATTGTGATTATGAATATTCAGATGAAGAAAGTAGATAGCTCTCAAGGACGGTTTTAAAATGAGAAAGTCTAATTGGAAGGACTTGCATTCTGATAAGTTTATCAAGGTCGCGAGAGACTCTAGATATGAAGAAATTTCTCCTCACATTCCTTCTCGTTCTGTTAATCATAAGCTTGCACGGATCGCCCCTAGTTACAGACATAGGTGCGAAGGGTTGAGAAAAATCTCACCCCCCCCCCTTCACTTTGGACGGAGAAAGAAAATTTTTTGAGGTGAGATGATAGTGTGCTTGAAGTGGAGTACATAAGGTAAAAGAATTTATTTACAGAGTAAAGGGAATGAGAATGCGGGAAAGGAAGCAAAAATCGGGAGCGGACCCCCCTCACTGGGACGAAGCAGGTGCTAAGGTGACTTAGTTAGATTAAAGTCGAGATATCGGAGCTGAAAAATCCAATTTTAGGCATTCCATGGGACGAGCAGTATTGGGTCGATATGGGAGGGCGCATGGACGTGAAACGAATGACTAGAGTGGTGCCTACACGTGGGCTTGTTGGACGAGACTCTGGAAAAGAAATTTTGTGGTTATAATATGGATATAAATTGAATAATTTGCCATCGTATTGTGTGTATAAGGATAAACAATAAATGGAATTTTTGTACACAATCGAATTTGTATATACTAAGTGAAGGCAAGAAGATAATCAGAATAGGAAAGGTAAGATATCGGAGTTTGATGATCAAAAGAGAAAGCTGCTTAAAATAAGTTCTATAAAGGTACAGGGAGAAGGTAAGTCAGGTATTAGGTACTCAGGTAAGCTTCCGATGTATGCTGATAAGGAGAAGCAGGTTTGAGTTGCCAACTATACCCCCCTTCGAGCCAAAAAATTTCCATATCTCGGTGAGGGGGTCATCTCATGATCTAGTTTTTTTTTATCTTGTAAGGGAGAGTGTGCTTGAGATAACTAGGGCTGTCGCAAAAGAATCTGCTGAAGCAGAACTTCTGAAGCTTGAATTTTACGCACAAATTTATGCGTCTTCAACTCGGTGCTGTTCCTCTCCTTCCTTAAAGCGGATCCTTTTGCGACAGCCCTAGTTATATCAAGTGAACCTCCCTCTACAAGTTGGTGAAAAAAGTAGATCACGAGAGAACCTCCCCGCTGAGATATGAAGCGTCAAATTGAACCACCCAAAATCGATTTTTTTTGCTATAACTCTTATGTAAATAAACAAAAGTAAACAAGGAGCTGGAATTAGAATCTACTTTCGAATGATATATAATATGTGAGGGTTCCTTGTTTTTTTTTCGCCCTGCGACAGGGGTTGAGACTCTCTACAAGATAAAAAAAAACTAGATCATGAGATGACCACTCACCGAGATATGGAAATTTTTTGGCTCGAAGGGGGGGGTATAGTTGGCAACTCAAGCATGCTTCTCCTTATCAGCTTGCATCGGAAGCTTACCTGAGTACCTAATACCTGACTTACCTTCTCCCTGTACCTTTATAGAACTTATTTCCAGCAGCTTTCTCTTTTGATCATCAAACTCCGATATCTTACCTTTCCTATTCTGATTATCTTCCTGCCTTCACTCAGTATATACAAATTCGATTGTGTACAACAATTCCATTTATTGTTTATCCTTATACACACAATACGATGGCAGATTATTCAATTTATATCCTATAACCACAAAATTTCTTTTCCAGAGTCTCGTCCAACAAGCCCACGTGTAGGCACCACTCCAGTCATTCGTTTCACAACCATGCGCCCTCCCATATCGACTCAATACTGCTCGTCCCATGGAATGCCTAAAATTGGATTTTTCAGCTCCGATATCTCAACTTTAATCTAACTAACTCACCTTAGCACCTGCTTCGTCCCAGTGAGTGGGGTTAAAAGCAAAAAAATTGGAAAATTTTAAAATTAAAATTTGGAAAAATTAGAGTTAAAAAATTAAAGATTTATTTTTTTTTCAATTTCCCCTCCCCCCGGTCGACGTCGGCAATTTTCGGACCCCCTTCACTTTTGAGGGTCAAAAACTCCTGAGACCCCCTTCACTTTGGAGGGTACCCTTCTCAGGCCTTCGCACCTATGGTTACAGATGTCCTTCGATCAAAGAAATCAGCCGCATTTAGCTGACATCCCCCAAACAAAATTTTATGGGCCATGATGAGATCAAACTTTCTTCTCCTGGTGGCTAAGTCTTCCAACCCCAACTCTTTATTTCGAAGTTGGAAGCTCGGTAACTGATTATATATTAGGTTGGTGCAAAAGTAATGCGCGTTTTTCTAGCCCTAGTTTTAAGACAACTTTTCCCCCATCAAACTTCTTCCTTTGAAAAAACTCAGCATACAATTACAAAGCTCCTTTCATGCTCTGTCCAACAATGGCCAAAAGGAGCTCCTATCCTCATTTGTTGAAAAGTTATAGAGCTTCATACAGCCGCACTCGAATTCACGATTTCATTGCACTAATCTTTTTGGCCAGAATTCAATCACATGTAAAGGCATTCTTTTAAAAATTTAGCTACTGTTTATTATAGAAATTGCCTACGTTATGCATACCTCGCTAGTCTCTTAGAAGTTATCTAGGCTGAGGTTTCGACGCCTCAATACGGGTAGTGGTTTGGTAATTCTGTGGCTTATAAATTTCCTTTGAAAAGTGCAATCGCCAAGGCTTTGCTCATTTCTATAAGCGTAAGGGTGGGCCTCATGTTGACAATTTTTGCAGAAGTATTTATCTGTTAAGTATGCAGAAAATCAAAAATCTTCATATTTTGGGATTTTGAGGCCAACGAAAAAATGTCGAAAAAAGCGGACAATTTAAAAATTAATTTTTTTCTTTTGGCAAATCATTGTTATTTGGGCCCTTTTCATCAATTCTTGTATTACTGGATTGCGGCTACAAGATACTCTACTTACCATCTACACTAACAAATGTTGAAGAAAAATATGATCGGTTGAAAACGAGGTTTCAGAAAAAAAACTTTTTTTGCTTATCAATTCAGATTTGTGCCCGTTGATGATATGAGTATAGGGGGATGTGCGCTATATTGAGAAAGGTTTGGTGCCTCTACTGGTCTTTACCGCACTGAAAAATGTGGGTTTTCCAGAAAGTTATAGCACGTCAAATTGAAAACTTGCAAAACGCGCATAACTTTTGCACCAACCTAATACAAAGCCTCTACTGCGTATCATCAATTTCCCAGAGAAGCTATTTTGTACTTTTTCCAGTACGTAAGCATTTTTGCTCGTGCAAGGATTGAAAATCACGGTGCCATACTCAATCAAGGGTCTTATATAGACCTTGTAAGCTTGAAGCAGAATTTCAACATCATTTGTTGTCATTGCCCTGAACAGATTATGGACAGCGGCGGTTCCAATGCTAGCAATTTTCTCACAATGCTGGCCAAAAGTAAGCTTGTTATCCACCAAAAAACCAAGGTCAGTCACCTCATCCTCATAACCAATCTTGTTACCATCCATACAATAAGCATATTCAGCGCTACCAGATCCTAAGTGTAGAACCTTGGTCTTAATAAGACCCCCTTGAATTATATACCTAAGATAGCATTAACTCATTACCTGAAGGCCCTGTCAAACATAATGGGCAACATATCCATAATGAGCATGTCAATTAACCACTGTAGACAAACTTTGAGCGAATTCTGAAGATTCAAGATATTAGGCTACCTAAGTGAAATGGTCATATTCCAACATGGTTAACTTTGTCTCAAAGGTGAATTAGCTATCCG